GGGCTTTAAACCTTCTATTAGTAGCTTTGTAAATTACCGAGATTTAATTTTTAATAAAAGTTACTTTGGGGTGTGCTTCTAAGTGAAAAAAATGAAGACTTTTTATGTGGAGTTGTTTCAGAGCAACAGCATGCAGCTGTGCCTTGTTGAGATGCTGGGAGGGGCTCAGACACTTCCATCTCCCATCATTTGGCAGGTTGTTGTTGACTAAATGTGTTTCTGTTTGAGAAAGAATTGTCAATGTCACTTATTTTTAAAAATAAATGATTTTGCTGTGTGAACTTGATCTGCAGTGAGAGGCTGGCTGGGAGCTGACACGCCGTACTGACCTGGCTTTCTCCAGGTTTTTTGTATCCTCTGGAGCTTTGTAGCTATTTTTTTAATTATTTTTAATTGATTAGGTGCTCAGAGCAGACTGTGTGCTGCTGGTGGAGCAGCCTAGATTGCTTCTGACCAGGAGTGTGTGCTGGGAGCTGCTGGGATTTGCAGATAATCTAGCAGAAAACTTGCCCTGTTGGGCAGCTCTGGGTTTGCTGTAGCTGCACAGCCTCACTGAGTGCACTGTACAAGTGGCTAAGAGGCTGGGATGACTTTCTAGTCTACTTTTTAAAATATAAATACCTGCTATTGATTTGATAGCCTTTAATTAGATCAGCAGTGAGCTGCAGGAGGAGGAGATGTTAACAGATTAGTTTGGGATGTGCAAGGCACCTGCAGTCCTGATGTCTTAATCTGGGTTTATCCCAGCTGCACTACCTGTGCTCCCTGACCTGGCCCAGAATTAATGCTCAGTGTGCCTGCTCTGCTTCAGGGAGTGATAAAAGCAACTGCTCCCAAATCTGAGTCACCCACAGATCTTCCCCAGGAAGGTAAGAGCAGTGCAGGGCTCCATCAGGTGCAAGGTGGTGCTGTGAGAGCAGCTGTTTGCCTGCCAGATCCTCCTCAAGCATGTAAGCAGTGGCTGACTGTAAAGAGAGCTGGAGCCTTCAGATCTCTGCAGCTTTCTCTTTCCAAGAACTACTGCAGTAAGTGCATGCAGATCTGAGCGTTCCCAGTTAAGGCAAAACAGGACGAGGAGGCCACGGTTTTGAAATAAGCATTGCTTCGACTGTTCCTGCTGGAACTAAACAGTCCTGAGCAGCAGCAAAGGGGGCTGGCAAACTGCAGAAGGGGCAAACAGCAGAAGGGCAGCTGGTGCTGCTGTGCTCCTTCTGATTTAGGGAAGTGTTCTAAAACATGGGTACTTCTGAGGAACAGTGTTGCTATCTCAGCTGACTGAAATCCAGGCTGACCCTACTAACAATCCCTTAGCTGTCTCTTGTGCAGCTGTGCTTGCTCTCATCACAAGCACAGCAGGAACTGCTGTTTTTCTACAAAGCCCAATTTCTCCAGAAACATTTGAGTTAGAGAGGAGCACAGCTGTGTACAGATCTGTAGGGAACGGGTCTCCTCTGATGCTGCTGACCTTCCTGAAGGAAGAGCTGGCTACTGCAGGGTACCTGAAGGCACAAGGAGTTGAGCAGGGACTTCTGTGCTGTGCTTTGGTTTGCTGGAGTAGGAACGCACGCAGAGCTTGCAGGTGCCGAGTTTATTTTACATAGAACAGCTTTAAAACATGACACAGAACCAACCATATATACATCACTCTGTAGGGCGCGTTCCTGTACACGGGGGGATGTTCCCAACACTTGGGTGAGAAGGGGCAGAGCCTCAGCACACCTGCATCATCATGGAGTTCACCATGTTATCAAAAGCCCTGGGGAAGGAAACAAACACAGTGTTAGAGGAAGCAGCTCTCCTAACAATGCCTCTCGCTGGTTAATGAGCTGGCTTTCCCCAGGCTGAATACGGAGTTTCACTCGAACTACAGCGTGTTCTGTTGAGTAATTACTTTAATTAAGCTGAAGTAAGGACAGGGCTTATCCTGGCAAAGTGTAGCAGTTTTCTTGCCTAGGCAATGCAGACTCCCAGCATTATTAAAATTCCCTGTGAGATTTCAGCTTAGAATTGGGGAGCACTGGCCCTCACACAGGGAGTTACAAGTGTTGATCCCAGCTGTTGTCACTCCAGGATAAACCCTGGCCAGCTGCAGTAATTTACTCTATTTACCCCCCTCTATTTACCAAAGTTCCAGCTGATCAGGTAACTTTCTGCCCCCAGTGACACCATTTTCCCTGTTTTTAACACCAGTTCTGAAGTGGCAGTGAGACAGCTCCGTGGGACTTCTCAGGGGACTTTCAGAGTTTCCTATTCCCAAAACCAATCTGAGCAGTTAGAGCATGCACACCTGAACTGGTCGACCACGGGGGTTATGTTCCTGGTCCTGTTACACCACAGGCGTGCTGCAGGTCCCAGAGAGATGACACAGGTCAGCGTGGTCACCCCACACTTACCTGGAATGGATGCGGTCCCCGGGGTTGTAAAAAGGGTTGCACATTATGTCTGTGTACGAATTATGCAGCTTTCGGAACATCTGAAAAGGGAGTGCAGTTTAATTAATATTTTTTGCTTTTTGGTTCTCAGCGCTTTATGAATAAGAGGAAGTAGCAAAAACACCGATGGGGCAAGTTGTGCTCCGATTTCCTGCACTTACGCTGCGGATCTCATTGTCTCGGAGCGCTGTGTTTGAAGAATCCACCACCATAACAAACTTCACCTTTGAGTTTGTCACGTAGCCGTAGCTGGGCAGCTGTTAAGGACCGTGCTCCTGACACACCAGAGGCTGGCAAAGCAACCAGTACAAGGCAGGAACACACTCAAAAAAAAGCTGAGGAGAGGAAATATTTTGCTCTTACTGCACCCAGCACAGAACCAGGCGCAGGTGAGGTAAGGAAGACACCGGGGTGCTCCCTCTCCACCTGATTTCTGCCCCTTTTGGTAGCTCCTGATCCTGTTTGCTCCTCTGCTGGCCAGCAATGATGCCTTGCATTTTGCAAACAGCCCCATGTTAGCTGTTTGGTGGGGGTTTCTCTCTTCTGAGGAATGGTTTCATTGACCCAGCCACCTTATCCTCATTCAGGAGGCAGCAGTCAGAGGCCTGGAGATCCTTTTAATATCAAGGACCCCAAAAGTTAACCCATAAATCAGGTCTGGGAGAGCAGATAACCTCTTAGGCATGCAGAGAACAAGCCAAAAAGCATTCAAAAGGTCACATTTTTGCGACAAAAACCCTGGGACAGCTGTGACCCTGGGTGTGGATCTGAGAGAGGCTGCGTGGTGCAGCTGGGGCCTGACCCAGTGACACCACCATGCTCCTGCCACACTCATTAGTGCCATTAAGGAGTCCCAGCCTTGTTGTCATTACTCACCTGCTTTAAATAAGCAGAGAATGAGGAGAAGGAACCACGTTTATGAAATGGTGCTGCCAAATGCCCTGTTAGCAACGAACAGCAGCAGCCAAACTGAGCGAGGCACCAAGCCCAGCCCTTGAGGTGTCTGTGAACCTCCTGCTGCTGCCTTTAAAGTGGCACCAAACAGCAAGAGAGCTTCCCCACGAGGTGCAGGCATGGTTTGGTGAATAACAGCACGTGGGGTGACGGCGTGGCTGCAGGGAGAGCGTGCCACGCAGGGGTTAGATCAGATCGTGTTGTAAAGACACACTTTGTGTTGTAAAGATACACCTTGGGTTATAAAGATACACTTTGTAGTCCTCGGTGGGGTAGAGGAGCCCCAGGTACAGCTCCCTCTGATCCACCAGGGCCTTGCCCATGGCGGAGATCTTCTCATCCACCACGTCCAGGGAGGTGTGCACCGTGTAGTGGAACTTCAGCTCGTTCTCCGTCGGAACGCTGCGGATGTAGAGGGGGTAGTTCTGAGGAGGATGACAAATTGTGCTCGTGAGGACAGGCTGCTCTGTTCTGATGTCCCTCTCAGGCCCCACAGCATGACCCAGACCCACGGCCTCTCTTGGGGCCCGTATTCCCCCCTGGCCCCGCTATCCTGTCGCCCCTCTCAGATCCCATAACACCACCTGGCCCCACTGCACCACCTCTCAGGCCCTACAAACAGCCCTTCTCACCCCTGCTCCAGCCCCACAACCCCTCTGAGGCCCTATAGTCCCACCTGGCCCCACAGCCCTTCACCCCACAGCCCTTCACCCCACAGCCCTTCACCCCTGCTGGGCCTCCATAGTCCCACCTGTGCCCCACAGCCCCTCTCAGGCCCTATATTCCCACCTGGCCCTATAGCACCACCCTGAGCTCCACAGCCCCTCTCCGCTCACCCCTGCTTGGGCTCCATAGCCCCCCAACCCCTCTCAGACCCCACAGCACCACCTTGAGCCCTACAGCTCCTCTGAGGCCCTATAACCCCACTTGGCCCTACAACCCCTGTAAGGCCCTATAACCCCACCTGGCCCCATAACCCCACCCTATGCCCCCAGCCCCTCTCTGCTCACCCCTGCTCGGGTTCCACAGTCCCTCTCGGGCCCCACCTTGAGCCCTATAACCCCTGTAAGGCCCTATAGCCCCACCTGGCCCTATAGCCCCACCCTGACCCCCAGCCCCTTTCCCCTCGCGCCTGCTCGGGCTCCACAGCCCCATCTGAGCCCCCACAGCCCCTCTCAGACCCCCCAGCCCCTCTGAGGCCCTACAACCCCTGTAAGGCCCCATAACCCCACCTGGCCCCATAGCCCCACCCTGTGCCCCCAGCCCCTCTCTGCTCACCCCTGCTTGGGTTCCACAGCCCCACCTGAGCCCCCACAACCCCTCTGAGGCCCTATAACCCCACCCGGCCCTATAACCCCTGTAGGGCCCTACAACCCCTGTAAGGCCCTATAACCCCACCTGGCCCCATAACCCCACCCTATACCCCCAGCCCCTCTCCCCTCACCCCAGCTCGGGCTCCACAGCCCCCTCGTTCCCCCCATCCCCCCCTTAAACCCTTAAATCCCCCAAAATCCCCCCAAAACCCCCTCCCTGCCCCCCCACCCCCACCTCCTTGGCGATCACAGCCACGCACACCGCCATCTTGCCCCGCCCCGCGTCACGTGACGGGGGAGAGGAGGGGAGGGGGTCACGTGAGGCGGGCCGGTCACGTGAGGAGGGCGCCGTTGCCATGGCGAGGGCGGTGCTGGGGTCGCTGTGCCTCTGCTGGGCCCTGGGCCGCGCCGCGCCCCCCAACCTCCTGCTGCTGCTCATGGACGATGTGAGGGGGCCGGGGGTCGTAGGGGGATGTGGGGGGTCGTGGGGGGGGCGGTGGAAGCCGCCTGGAGGTTGTTATGGGGTGGGGGGGGCGGTGCTTGCCTCCAAGGGGGTGTTTGTGGGGTTGGGGGGGGGCTGTGTGGGGCCAGAGGGGGTCATTGGGGCCTATATGGGGCCTATATGGGGCCAAGGATGTCGTTGTAGGGCCGTGGGGGGATGTATGGGGCCAAGGATGTTGTTGTGGGGCAGGGGGAGGGGGTATATGGGGCTGGGGGGGTCTCTGTGGGGTCCTGGGGGTGTATATGGGGCCAGGGGGGGTTACTGGGGTGTCTGTGGGGTTGGGGAATGTCGTTGTGGAGCCTGGGGGCCTATATGGGGCCGAGGGGGGGTCATTGAGGGGAATATAGGGGCGGGGGGGGATATATGGGGCCAAGGATGTCGTTGTAGGGCCGGGGGGGAGGATATATGGGGCTGAGGATGTTGTGGGGCTGGGGGTATATGGGGCCATGGGGGTGTATGTGGGGCTGGAGGGGGTCTCTGTGGGGCCCCGGGGGTGTATATTGGGCTGGGGGAGGGGTCATTGGGGTCTCTGTGGGGCTGGGGGATGTCTATGGGGACAGGGGGGTCTCTGTGGGGCCAGGGGATCATTTTGGGGCCGAGGCACTGCTGCCAGGAGTAGGATTGTGGCAGGCTGGTCCCGATATCCTGCAGGGATGGGACTGGGGAGAACAGCCTCAAGTTGTGCCAGATGAGGGTTGGGCTGGAAATGAGGGGCTGTTTCCTCTCAGAAGGAGCTGTTAGGTGTTGGGACAGGCTGCCCGGGAGGGGTTTGTGGGGTCACAGCACCCGGCCCCGGTCACTCGGCCGGCGTGCGGGGCAGCAGGGGGGTAGGGTCAGCGTCCTGAGTCACAGCCATGGGGCCGGGGTGCGGTGATTCAGGCTCGTGGGTCGGTGGCAGGGTATGGAAAGGTTTGAGTGGAACAAGCAGAGCATTTCGGGGGTTGGAAGAACTTCCTGAGGGATCTGCCACGCTCAGCTGCTTTCCTTCTCAAGCCCTTTCCCAATTTTATGTAAAAAAGTAAAAAGCATTGCTGGTTTGAAGGCCCTGCCCCTCCTGGGGGGCACAGCTACCCCAGGGGATGTCCAGGGGATGTTTTAGTCCTCATTTCACAGAATCACACAGAATTTCTAGGTTGGAAGAGACCTCAAGATCATCGAGTCCAACCTCTAACCTAACACGAACAGTCCCCACTAAACCATATCCCTAAGCTCTACATCTAAACGTCTTTTGAAGACTTCCAGGGATGGTGACTCCACCACTTCCCTGGGCAGCCTGTTCCAGTGCCTAACAACCCTTTCAGTAAAGAAATTCTTCCTAACATCTAACCTAAAGCTCCCCTGGCGTAACTTTAGCCCATTCCCCCTCGTCCTGTCACCAGGCACATGGGAGAACAGACCAACCCCCACCTCGCTACAGCCTCCTTTAATGTACTTATACAGAGCGATAAGGTCACCCCTGAGCCTCCTCTTCTCTAGGCTGAACAAGCCCAGCTCCTTCAGCCGCTCCTCATAGGACTTGCTCTCCAGGCCCCTCACCAGCTTCGTCGCCCTTCTCTGGACCCGCTCAAGCACCTCGATGTCCTTCTTGTAGCGAGGGGCCCAAAACTGAACACAGTACTCGAGGTGCGGCCTCACCAGAGCCGAGTACAGGGGGACGATCACCTCCCTAGCCCTGCTGGTCACACTGTTTCTGATACAAGCCAGGATGCCGTTGGCCTTCTTGGCCACCTGAGCACACTGCTGGCTCATATTCAGCCGACTGTCCACCATCACTCCCAGGTCCTTCTCTGCCTGGCAGCTCTCCAACCATTCCTCTCCCAGCCTGTAGTTCTGCTTGGGGTTATTGCGCCCCAGGTGCAGGACCCGGCACTTGGCCTTGTTAAACTTCATACAGTTGACCTCAGCCCATCAGTCCAGCCTATCCAGATCCTCCTGCAGAGCCTTCCTACCCTCGAGCAGATCGACACACACACCTAGCTTGGTGTCATCTGCAAATTTACTGAGGGTGCACTCAATGCACTCAATTTGTGGGTGTCCTGTGGAAAACACATGAGATTTCTCAGATCTTTATACATTTGAAAGCCTGCATTGGGGTCTTGTTGCTTACCCTATGCCCCTTATCAAGAAGCTGTCACCTCATCAGCCCGTTCCTAATGACTGAGCAATTAAAGCCAGGATTGGCCTTGCAGCCTACAAAAAATAATAGTCTGATGTCGATAAAGACACCGAAGAGGTGAGAGCCGAGGGCTGATCCACGAAACCCAATTTAACTCCACGCCCTCCGTCAGGTCCCACCGTTTAATTGCCCTTTGCTCAAGCCTCAAAATCGGGGCTCTGCAGCTCTCCAGGAGTTTTCTTTTCCAAACTGGAAAAGAAAAATGCAAACGGGAGGCTCTCAGCTGGGCCCAGGCAGGTTTTTTTTTGTTTCCTCCAGCTCTGGATACATCACCCCTCTCCATTAGCTGCTCACCTGACACACGCCTGCGTTAGAGCCAGCTATTGCACTTTTTAAAGCATGATATAAGCTCTAGCAACCGTGGTGCCTAATTGCTCGTTAAGCTGTTCCCTTCCAGAACCTTCTGTTTGAAGTCACTGGCTGTTATTGGTGTTATTACCCACCAGCGTTCTCAGCAGCGAGCGCAGGCAGCACGGCGGTGGCTTTATGGCCCTCCTGGGTAGGGATGCACGACCCTGCTGCGCTGGAAAGGCACGGGGTAAAACCCCTGGCTCGCACACGATGCCCCCAGCAGGTTTTTTTAGGGCTGGTTTTTAAAATAAGCATTTTTTTTTCCTTTTCGAGCTTTTCCTTGCCTCTGTAGTTGAGTACACGCGGGTGGACAAGCAGAGTGCTGGGCTCCAAGACAAAGACGCGTGGCCAGGGACTGAGCAATTTGACTTTGTAGCTGTGCAACACTGAGCAGATCGGGTGCAACTTCCTCCTTGCCAGTCCTCGGGCACTGCAGTAAGAGAGAAGACGTTAGGGTTTTTTATCCAGTTCCGCTGCAACCTTTTAAATGTCCTCCAGCAAGTCAGTTATCTCACGTGTGCCTCAGTTCCTTGTTTGCCAGTGAAAACTTGAATAGTTCCCTGCTTCATGGGGCTGGGGGAGAATATTTTTATGATGCTGGTGAAGTGCTCCCTGAGTAGGGAGATGAGCGCTATAAAGACAGAAATGAAGGGATAAAATAAAGGTTTTATGTGAGCCCAGAAGCACTGGCATTTACGGAGGAGTAAAAGTACTTTTACGTCTTGTGCTGTGTTCTTTTTTACAGATGGGTTGGGGGGATTTGGGAGCTTTCGGAGAGCCTTCGAAGGAAACTCCTAACTTGGACCAGATGGCTTCGGAAGGGATGCTTTTCATGGACTTTTATACCGCCAACCCCCTCTGTTCGCCATGTAAGTACCTGGAGTTCGAAGCTGGGATGTGAGGATGCCACCTTCTGAGAAGCTTGGGATGTTTGCCAGCCTCTGCCATGAACTAGCAACCAAACCAGTGATTACCCTGGGGGCAGAATTGGGGTTCGGTGCTTTGATCTTTTGTCTTGCCTCCTTTTTCTTTACTTTTTGATTGGGAAACCTACAATCGTAAGTTCATTCAAAGCGGTGTTGTAGTGATCGAATCAGTGCAGTTAAAGGATTTTATAAAATATTCTGGTTTGGTTTTCTAGCCTCAGTCATTGCATTTTTAGTTCTTTCTCATTCTGGAACAGACCGAGCAATATTTAAGTGATTGCTGAGCAGAAAGGTACGTAGGTTGTCTGATTCCACTGACATTGGTGAGAATTTTGTGCAAGGAAGGCAGCAGGTCCTGTCCTGTTGTCAACCCCCATGGCTTGTGAGATTCCTGGGGAAGGGACAAGACAAAATAAACAGTTCAGTTTGGGAAATAAAGGTTATTTATTTTTAATCCTTCTGTGTGTGTGTCCTCAGCTTTATTGGCAACCAAGAACTGAAATGAAAATGAGGAACAGAGGCTTTCTGTTTGGGTTTTCATTTAGCAAATCATTTGTCAACATGCTAATGACTGTCCTTGCTCAGAACAGGCATTTAATATATGCTGCAGTCCTGCTAAGCCCAGTAGTACTTCAGCATCTGTTTAAATGTTTGCAGAGTTCAGGAGCTGATTTTTATTGTCAAAGCTGGACAGCTTCTTTTTGTTCACTACTACGTGGCTTTTATTCATGTTTTGAAAACTTAGCCTTAGCTATGAGCATGTCATCGATCTGTGTTAGGATTCCCTCTTAAATACACACACCAGGTATTCCTTTTTATTAATTTTTTTATTAATTACTGGGGTAGGAGGGCTGCTTCAGTTACAGTTGGAAATGATAACTTCTCAGCAGTGGGTAAAGTAATTAATAGAGGGGCCAAATTTCAATTGGGTTCATCCTGGCATAATTAATGGCATTGTATCACAACCTGGCCATCACCTTGGCTCCCTTGGGAAGGGTTTGTTGTTGAGTTCTGATGTGAGTGATCCTAGCAGCTGGCTGTGGCAGGACACTGACGTGCTTGGGTTGTTGTGTCCTCAGCCTGAATACAATAGTGCTAACCGTAACCAGAGTGCATGGAAAAAAAAAAATGTTTTTTGTTGTTGTTTGTAGCAAGGGCAGCGCTGCTGACGGGCCGGCTCCCAGTCAGGAATGGTTTTTACACCACGAATGGACATGCCAGAAACGGTATGGGCTTCATTCCCGATTCCTCTTGAGATTTCTCTCCGTGCTTTGTGCAAAGTTTTGCTTTGAACAAAGGCTTGGCTCGGTTATCTTCCCTTATGGGTCTTCCAGAGTGGCACAAAAAGATTACCATGTTAACTGCTGGTAATAGGCGTGAAATTTATTGCTTCCTCCTCATCGAGCAGAAAACCTCCTCAAATGAAGAGACACAAACAAGGCTGGTTGATCCGTTTGCTTCTGCTGGCAGAGAAGTGTTTCCTCTGCTTGGTGTAATTGGTGTCTGGTTAAAGAAAATCACACAGGGTGTGTGCTAACGCCCAGAGTAAAGAACAAGCTGCTTACAGTTTTATTCAGCATCTGGTTTTCTGCCCGTTTCAGAAAGGGCATTTTTATAGCCCCGTGGTGCTCCCAGGAAGGATTACCAGTACATAAAGTCTCTGGGTTGATTTTTGGTTCTGGAATGCCAGGAGCTGCGTGAGACCACGGGCGCTTGGGCAGGAGGCAGCAGCTGCATGTAGCTTCACACACAGCTCAGCCATCTCCACCCTCCCCAAAAACACACCGGAGAGCTGCAGATTGGGAGAGACCTCATTTCTTTCAGCTCTTGCAGCCTGAGCAAGTGTGTCAATCGTTTCATCTAGGAAAAAAATGCCTTTGTTTTAGGAAATATAAGGCAAATTTGCAGAAGTAAAGGCAGCTCCAATGGATGCCTAAAGCACTTGTTTTCTTTATGATCCTCACCCCTCTTTCTGCCCTATTCATGGGCTTTGCCTTCCTTCTGTGATAGCAGCTCCTTTTTTTATTGGTCGTGGTGTGTAAGCAGATGGAGATTTCCCTTTACTTGAGGCGTGTGTTTGCTGAATCAACTTTTCCTCTTCATCTCCTGGTCCGGGAAGACTTCCAGAGAACGATATTGCTGGAACTTCAAACTAATTGCTATTTCTGATCCAGTAATAATGCTTCTAATGATGGGTGGCCATGAGCTGTTTGCTGTAGTGCTCGTAAGAGACAGAAAAACTTCTTGTTTGTTTGTTTTACGCAGCATACACACCACAGGATATAGTAGGAGGAATCCCAGATTCTGAATTACTGCTTCCAGAGTTGCTGAAGAAAGCTGGCTACGTCAATAAGATCATTGGCAAATGGTAAACTTGTTTTAAGATCTCTTGCTTTGAGATTTCAGTACGTGTGCGTATGTATCATGAAAGAGCAGCAGGACAACCAGAAGCGCAGGAGAAAGCCTGTTTTGAAGTTCAGACGTCTGCCTTTTGAAATTTGTGGTGGATCTTCCCCCCCCTGCTGTGATCAATTTCCAAACTGAGTGTTACCATTCCAAGTACACGCGTAGATCCATGCTTATATATCAAGCCTGCGGCTCTTTGTGCTTTCATCCATGTACCACACTACTTAATTTTATCAAGAAGCGCCAAGATGTTTTCTGTTGGAACTTGCCTTCAGCACCTATGTGCTTTTTGTCTTTGGCAGGATGAGTGTATGGTACAAAAACAGAGATGCAGACGCTTGAGGATGAGCGAATTGACATCAGAGCTATGCTGAAGTCTGTTCACCTGCTGTAGAAGATCAGGACGGGTAGGGAGGGACTTACTGAGGACAGCTGATACTTCTGGGTGTTTTAAAAGAACTAGAGGGCTGATCCAGTACTCTCTGAACGTTGTCCTTTGGTTTTATTGACTTGCGTGATAGTACGATAAAATCTTTGCAGATCTTGTGCAATGGCTGCGAAGGATTGGGAAGGAAACGCCTGAGAGGTATTCAGATCAAACAAAGACCGAATTACCGGTGTAGTAGTTGAAGCTGGTACATTTGTAACATTCAAAATTCAGATGCGCTCGTGGGCTGTAATGGAATCCCACGGTGTCTGGAGATCTCCGAACAGTTAATTCACAGTTTGGAACAGTGCTGTAATAAATAAATGTATAAAGAGCAACTTCAAAACTACATAGACCCCCGACGAGTACTGCTTGGTTAACAGAGTAATTGTTAATGAAGAGGCTTCAGACGGGATTAGTACCAGGGGGATACTGTTTAGGAAAGGAATGGGATACATTTTATTTAGCAGTTTCGCTAACAAGTTAGAGAAGAGTGAGACTGAATTGTGGTTGGATTCACCCATGCTGCTGGAATTGGAAAGAAAGCAAACTAACCTAAGACAGTGAATTATTTATTACCACGAATCCAAACAGCAGAGTGGCCATGAAGAATCGGATCAGTGGGCTGAATGCAATAAGATGCAGTTCAGTGCTAATAAATGCAAATTCATACACCCAGGGAAAAGAAATAAACAACGCAAATACAGATTGGTTCCAGGCAGTTATTTGGAAAACAGCAAATCTGGAAGGACCTGCAGCTGTTAGCAAGCAGCAGCCTAAATATGGATGTGCAGTGTGCTATCATTACAGACCCAAGAACTGTTGTACCGGAGAGGACTGGGGAATGATACCGTGCAGCAGGAGTCTCTGGCAGTTGTGAACATCACCTGCTTCCCAGAAAGATGTTTAAAAGAAAAAAAAAAAAAAGGCAGCGTGCAGTAGTTAATTTGGAGTCTCATCCCAGCTCCCTGTAGAATTTTGGGGCTTGTAGAGATCTTAAAGTTTTCTGGCAGAAGATTTTGTATCTTTTCAGCATCCCTTTTAAAAGCATCTCAGTGACAGTGAGTTCCATAGTTAAGTTATACATTTGCAAGTCAAGTATTTTCCATGATCTTTTTAGAATTTGTTGCATCTATTTATTTTTGTATTGTAAAAGGGAGAGAACAATCTACCTTCTGTATCTCAGTAATTATTTGATACGTTTTTCATGTTTCTTCCTTTGTGAGTTCTCTTAGGGCTTTCTTAGAATATTTTCTCTTATTCCCTGTTCTTGTGGAAACAGCCAGGAATAGCTTTGTAGTATTGTGTATATAAATGAGGAAACAGGAGAGTCCTGTACTGGAGATTTGCAGTTTTAGTTACATCACCAAGATACGATCATAGCTGGAATGATGATTATTTTATGCTTTAACTCATTTTGGAATAGCTCAAAATGACATCACGGATCGCTTTAGTTCAGGTAATGCATTTTATGTCCCTTATGTTCAGAAAGCGTGCAGGCAGCGATAGCACAGAACGGCCAGGTTGCGAATGCAGGCTTGTGAGCAGAATCTGCAATGATTAAATAAACACTTGGGTACGAAGATCTCCTGGAGACTGAAAGGACGAGGACGGGCATTCTTTCTTTTCAAGACATAGAATTTGCAGTTGAGGAGTTGGAGATTAGAAAGGAGCTTCAGCTTGAAGTTAGGGATGGAGCGTTTTCAAGCAGCGTAGATGAATGCAGCTGTCACCAAGAGTAGTTAAATGTGCTTTAGGTTCACACGTGTGTGTAAAGAACTCATTCTCATTTACATTCAGGTCTCTCTCTACCGTTTTGGCCACGTAAAGACTCCATAAAGGGAATGCAAATACAGTGGTATGTTTCATGAGTTTTCCCGTGTGTTTTTTACAGCTTAGTGGTGTAAAAGTGACTTGTAGATCAGAATCCTCCACAAAACATTACGTGCAGCTTTGCGGTGGCTTTGAGCAGTGTAGTCCATCAGTGCAGATCATCAAGGCAGCAAGAGAGAAGGCACCGATAGAAGCAAATAACAGAAAACAGACGGGACAGTAGGCTAAAATGGGATGCATGGGTCTGGCATGGTCTGCATGGGTCCGTTTGCAACGAGAAAGATCAAGACAATGCTCTGCAGTCATTTATTTAATTAAAATGCTTGAAGTTTTTCTTCTTGGGCAAAGATTGTTTTCTTGCATGCCATTCTGATGAGATTACGGCACTGAAGCAAAAAATAGAACTTAAATTCATCTATTTCTTTTTTTCCTAGGCATCTGGGCCACAGGCCCCAGTTCCATCCCCTGAAGCATGGGTTTGATGAATGGTTTGGATCCCCAAATTGCCATTTTGGACCTTATGATAACAAAGCAGTCCCCAATATCCCTGTGTATAGGGACTGGGAAATGATTGGCAGGTAATTCAAGTTTTTTTCCAAACCGTTACCTCGTCGCTGGTAGTGCTGCTCTTCTTGCTCTCACTGCTGATGCTGCTGTGTTGGAATACAAGTCCTGGCCCAGCAAACCCGTTTCAGTGAAAAAGTGTTGGCAAAAACAGAAGCTGCTCCAGAATCAGGCAAATTTCCAGGTTTGGTTGGACAGCCAGTGACCTCCAGGTGCTTCACCCCGAGCAGAGGACTTTCAGAGCATGTCACTTATTAAAAACATCCTGCTTCAGATGGGATTTAAGATGCTTCCTACTGAATGCCCCCTCTGCTCTGCAGCTCAGCAGTAAGCTGATGCAGAAAAGATGCTTGTAAAAGCTCATGAAACACAGAATGGCTCTTCAGAGTCCAGCACAAAGCTGATTTAATCCACTGTGCTCTGCAACAGCTACCTGCAATGGGTACCTAGAGGAGGGATGTAAGAAAACAAACATGGAATTGTCTTTTTTTTAATGTGGCTGTCCATCTTCCTGAACTGAAGGTTGTCTGCAGGTCTTCAAGTTTAATAGCCACTGCTTAAGGATGGTCATTTCCATTGGAGCTAAGGCAGAAGGGGGAATACCTTGTGGAAAAATGCTCCGGGTAGATAGAAACAGGAGTCTGAGTGCCAAGACCAACCTGCAGGGTGCACACAGACCGTGTGGGGATTGTGGCTGCTCTAGAGAACCTCTCAGAGATGTTTGCTTACCCTGTTGTGCCCTAAAGGCTTCCTGTGATGATTTCACTCCACTACTTCTCTTGGAAACTGGTTCCTTTCTGTACTGAAAGAATGCTTTATTCCTCCTCTGCCTGTTTTGTGGTAACCAGTTGCCTGTTTGCCTAACACCATCCTAGGCTCCAAGCGTGCAGTATGTATGTACCACTCTCACCCATTTGGTTTTCTGCTTGGTGTCATCTCATTTCACATCCTATTATTCTCACGAGGTCTGCAGCCTGCCCTTCTTTGCGTAATTGGTGTCTGAAGATGCTTCCAGCACGATGTTCTCAGGGCAGCCCAAGTTCTGATTCCAGGGTTGCTCTGTCTCAATGAAAGTTTTTGTGCTCTTCTGAAAATATCTCATACCAAACAGCTCTCTATTGAAGGAGCACTGCCTTATGCCCATGTTCTAATAGCTTAATATTGAAAAGCTAGTGGCTCACATTTGTCCAAATCTTGCAGTTGTGATTCATTCAAATCTGGCCATTTCACTGCTTTGTCCTATAAGAGAAAAATAAGATGACATCCTTTTAATTATCTGAAGAGAATTGGCTTGTTATGTAAGTTATCTTTTCACCTTTTTGCTAAGTAGCAACAGTGCCTTGCTTGTATACGTAATGGGGGCAGGGGCAGCCTTTTTGTGTTGTGTATTCCTTAGGTTTTATTCTTTTTTTTTTTTCTCTGATTGATTTTATCTTAAGATATTATGAAGATTTCAAAATCGATCTGAAGACAGGTGAAGCCAACTTGACTCAGATCTACCTACAGGTACCATTTATTTTGACCCACAATGACTTTATGCTTTTTTTTTTTTTGGAGAGACTTAGATGGCAGAGGATGATTCTGTTAAATTCATTTTTACTGTTGTTTACAGGAAGCTCTCGATTTTATTAGCCGGCAGCAGGCCAGCCAGCAGCCATTCTTTTTATACTGGGCAATTGATGCTACCCACGCTCCTGTTTATGCCTCCAAACATTTCCTGGGCTCTAGTCAGAGAGGACTGTAAGTCTTGTTTTTGTGTGTTTTGGTGGTTTTTGTTTATTATTATTTATTTTTTATTTATAAGTCATATCTCATGCTGGAGAAATGGAAAATCTAGGCTGCATTCATTAGATCCAGCTATATAGATCAGTTCTCAAAGTGTGGGCTGAAGTACATGACGATTTATATTAGTTAGTGAGAACTTTGGTTCTTTATTTTTGCTATAATCCGAAATGAAGATCATGAGACTGAAATGGAGGAGAGAAATCTAAGCTCCTTTGCCAGTTGTGTGAGTAATGAAGTGCTGTATGTGGCATAGATGAAGTTTTGGAAGCCCTTTGTATGGTTTGTGCCTGTTGTAAAAACTTATAAATCAGAGGGGCGAGTAGAAAAGCATGCACGAAAAATGCAGTTTACAGCAGGCAAGAGTAGCTCTGTAGGTACTGTGAGCCTTGCTTCTGAGAGCGTGATTTCAAACCAGCATCTAGAAGAAAAATGGTGTAATTTGCTTCAGGACAACGGCAAAGTGGCGTTGCCTATATCTGAGAACTTTATAGCTAAACTTTTCTCCATTGCTGGTCTCTGTCCAAGCGTAGCTCAGATCTGAACAAATTCTGACTCCTAGTATCCAGGAGAAGTGGCTCCATACAGGAAAGAGGTTTTGCAGTGACCCTGGAAAACTTTATTATGGTACCTGATGCACATGAGAAGTATTTCCTTCTGCAGGCCAGGTGTAAATTGTGTTCACTAAAAGCATCGTGGCTTATTGCAATACGTTATTCTGCATCAGACTTTTATTCTTCTCTTGCCTTTAATGTTTTTCATCTACTTTTGCCTCAGATATGGGGATGCCGTACGGGAAATTGATGATAGCATTGGAAAAATCCTAAAACATCTTCAAAAGCTTGGTATCAGTGAGAACACTTTTGTGTTTTTCACCTCTGATAACGGGGCTGCTCTCATTTCAGCTCCTAAACAAGGTGAGTCTCGAATGAACAAACCTGGACTGGGACTGTGAAATCTAGGTTTATATTTCCATGTGTGAACAGGGGGATGGAAAGAGACCTGTACCCGTTTTTTGGTGGTTTTTGTTTTTCTTTCCTTATCCCCTGTGCAGTCAGGAGAAGCCTCAAAGTTCAGAGCTCTCATGTTTAGAGTTAGCCTGAGGGATCTATTTATGTTCATTACTTCTGGCCACTGGTAGAGGAGGTAACCTTGGCCAACTGGACTTTGGCCTAACCCGGTGTAGCTGTTCACCTGTGTGCATTTCCACTTCGTGCTCCTCTGTCAGGGGGTGAATGTTTTTTTTTATTTTATTTAGGCCCACCCAGGCACAAAAACTTCACAGGATTTTTATTCTCCAGCTGCCAAACGCGTATCTGAACTTTCTGAGTAATTACAGTTTGAGTCTCTCCCTCTTTAGATCTCCTGAAAAATCATCAGGAAGAAATAGCATTTTTATTTTCTTCTCACGTTTTCCTTTGTTTAAATGATTTTTTTTCTCTCAGAGTCATTGCAAATTGATTTTATAACCCACTCTCTTCTCTTTGGAGGCAGGCTGTCTAGTGGTTATTAGACCACAAAGCAGGGAGTATCCTGAGTTCTGATTTCAGCTGAGCCACTGTGTTTGACTTTGTGTGACCTGGAGTCAGTCACTGCCCTTCCCTGTTTGCTCTTCAGTAAGCTCAGCTGTAAGAGTGGCTTAAAAACACCAATATTCTTGCAAAAAGAAATTCCTAGCTCTGAGAGGGAAACATTCAGAGAATGTATGACTTATTTTTTTCATTCTCGTATCTGCATCTCATACTGGTCTGGTACTTTAAAAGGTTATGGAAAAAAAAAATACTATTTCTTCCTGAAAGTGTCAGATTTCGTCTAGTTATAAACAGCAGTTAACATCCATACAGGGAAGGAAAATGCTGCAGTCTTATCTGTTTTGTTTGTTTTGTTTTGTCTTTGTCCAGCTGACAGCAAGTTGTGTTTAATTGTCAAGTTTCTCTCTGTGCTGAAAAGACACTCTTAAAATTCATCAGAAAGGAATATTTAAAGAAAACAGCTCTGGACGTCTTATTTGAAGAAGGATTCATGCACAAATGAAAACTCATTTAAAACTAGCTTAAAATTTTTGTAGTTGCCAGTGTCCCTTTGAAATGTGTTATTGGCATATCATGGGTTTTTTGGTTTTTCTTCTTTCTCTAGGAGGAAGCAACGGACGTTTTCTGTGTGGCAAACAAACCACCTTTGAAGGTGGCATGAGAGAGCCAGCGATTGCTTGGTGGCCTGGACATATTCCTGCAGGAGGGGTGAGTTATCTGCTTTTAACAATTCCCATCAGTCGTGAGTGAACTGAAATGAACAGAAAGGTTCCTGCTGGATTCAGGGGGCTTTGGATCTGACTTTTAATGTGTCAGTCCGGCCACTTGCCTAAATGAGGAGCTGAATGCTACCCCTCGAGAACAATGCCATTTCTGTTCATTAGCACAAATTTGCATCTCGAGTGTCTGTGATCAGCACTTCTGTGAATACCACACAGCCTGGTCGTTTTGTCCTCGTGGTCGAAACCCTTTACTCTTCTAGACCACGGTATTTTAGCGGGTTACATAGCTGAACAAGTAGAAGTATAAACACAGATGCGTGTCCCAGTGTGCAGCAGGAGTGTGGTGAAAATGCACTCTCTGTGCTTTGAAGTATCAAGTGATTTGACCCTTGCAGCTCTTGCTTTGGTGTTCAATAAAAGTTCCTCTCGGGGAGGTCTAGATACCAGAATATTGCTCTTTCCTGCCTGTAGACAAATTCAGATATGATCCCTTCAAAATAATCCTCTGGTGGTACTACCAGCCTCTCTCGTCCCAGTTCTCATTAAAGAAAGATGCAATCAATTCTTCTGCAGGGGGGGTTCGTAGTAAATAACACAGATTCCCTCCCCTTTGTGAGCACCTCTCATCCCCGAAGAATGTGATACTTCATTAACTGGGCACTGTGCTTAAGATTGCAAACTATTCATAAATAAAACATTTATTTTTCTGAGTTGCATTCCTTTTCAGTGGGTTAATTGAGTCAGGATAATGATAATTTATCATTTGCATTTAGGAGAATACCGTCAGATATCATAGATCTGCAGCTGAGGGTACGAGGGTAGTTAGGTTTCATTGCTTTTTAGAGTCCACAAAACCTACTAAGGATATTTTATTATTTTTTTAATTTGAAATGAAAACAATCTTTTTGTTTAAATTTAAACATTTCCATAAAGTCTTTACAAGCCAAGTACAACAGCCTTGGGCTAGCATATGAGAACATGAAACTGAAGCCGACTGTTTTGTTTTCCATGTCCAAACTGAATAATGTGCTAAAAGTAAACATGCATTATAAATGAGGACAAGTAAATACCAAATTTTTAAATTCTTTCCATTGTAGTAACGCTAATGGTAATTAGGAACATGAGCAGAGAAATCCGTGTGCCTGTTCATTTGCTGACTGTAACTTGCTGGTACCACTCTTACAGGTAGTCTTTTGCACGTAGGCAGAGTGTAGCAGACGAAGCTTTGCGTGGTGAGAAACCTTCTCGGTAGCTTGTTGTGATGCATGGCTTCCTGCTTGAGGTTACAGCTGAAGCTGCTCTCTGAATTTCTGTGAAACAGTCATTTCTGTGCAGAGCTGGCGTGTCTGCATCTGCAGATGGACTGACCAGGGCTGTGCTGTGAGGACCACGTGCATGCTCAGCGGGCTGGAGAGCGTGCGTAAGGCTCATGGGGCACGAAATTCACTCCTGCACCACCGTGGGTATCATCTTTGGCACTTAAGCATGTGCTTAACTCCAAATTCTTCCTATCCTGGGCTCCAGTTTGTGCCTGCCAAGTGCCTGTGTGTGCAGGTGTTCGGATCCCAGGTGTCCTCTTGGACTTGGCTCAGGTACCCTGAGAAGCCTGTTCTGAATTGTGGCCCTGGGATGCGCTGCTTTGCTCCGAATTGAACCCCCAGTGTGATGCTCCTAATAAGAAAATATGTAACAGCTACTTACATGTCTTTTCTGCTTGTATTCTTGCTGTCGAGGCTCCAGCAGTGATACCCACAGCAGCACTGACTGCAGGTGAGAGGTATGGCGTTGCTTCTGTGAAAGAGTTTTTGCTTCTCTGGCATGTAGGGTGCCTGGGGTTGCCGCTTCTTAATCTCCTCTTTGGACCTAGTAAGTGAGGAGTCGTGTTTGCTAGTGCATTTCTGGCTTCTTTTTGATATCTTACGGAGTCTGTAGCTTCAATACCTTCTTGACTGCGAGTTAAAACTAGTCTGTCTAAGTGGCGTGTAGTCCAAGTAGCTGTAAAACGTGGAAAAACTGCTTCAAAGTGCCTCGTTGCTTTTTCTTCTCAAAAGAGTTGATGGAAACAAAGGGTTGGGTGCCCCGAACCAGGGTGGAAGCACAGAGCTGCTCAGTCACTGCCAGCTGCAAAGCTTGGAGGGTCAGCTCATCCCTCCTGCGCTGGGGCTGCTCCATTCCAGCCACGGAGATTTTGGAGCCACGGAGATTTTGGAGAGCAGGCGGTGGGCCAGCCCCCATTTCAGCTGGCACAGCTGCAGCCAAAAAAAAAAAAAAAAGAGAATTTTGAGGCCAGTGAAATCCAGTTATTGGCTGGAAGGCTCATCCTGCTGATGGGACCTGGCAGCCTGGTAATAATCTCATTGATATATTTATGTTTTGTTTTGTTGCTGTTAAAGGGTGAGTGAGTTTATTTGATAGGAATGCACCTTTTTACAGAAACAAAAGAAGTCAGGTGGCAGGACTGTGAGCACTTGACAGGGTATCGATAGAGGGGAGGATAATTGGTGCAGTCGGCTGACTTGCAGTTATTTTGGGGAGAGGGATGCCTCGGGAGCCTGTGTTGCTCTTGGCATCAACATTGAGTTAATTCTGGTCCCCCATCAGGAATATTTATTCGCACACAAACAGCCTTTCTGCAGTTTCTTCCTCGGCTGTGTTTTCCAGGTGAATTCACAACAAATCAGCATTTCAGCATTCCCCACATCACATCTGCCTTCTGGAAGGATCCAGCTGGAAAAAAAAAAAATAAAAAATCATATTCTGTTGGTATTTGAATCCTCCTCCTCCTCTTTTCCCTCGCCCTCCTCCCCTTCCTCTCTCGTGCCTGCTTCCTGAAGGAGAAAAGAACATATCAACCCAAAGACAGCATTGCAACCTTTTCTTCGCTATCTCCCATGGGGCGCAAATTGAAATTGAATTAGACAGGGATATCAGGTCTGCTCGCTGTGATAACTGTAAAAGGATTTTATTTAAAAACACCCTGACATTTGTTCACCCAGTTTCAAATATTTAGCTTTCCTCCTTTCCATTCCTGGCGGGGGCGACTTTATTAATTGTCGCCTTTGATTCAGAGTTAAAGCTTGAAAGCACTGATAACAGCAGTGGTGACTATTTCTTCCAGCGACGTGGCCCACAGCAAAAGGATTTCATTTTCTTAAAGACGTTATGTGTATACTGAGAGTTTATTAAAAAGAAGGGGGGGAAGGAGGGGGGAAAAATCCGTTCTTACGTGCGTAATACCGGCTGTTTCTCACTGATACGAGCAATATCTGATCTCACTCTTTTTTTTTTATATATTATTTATTTTCTCTGGGCTGTTGCCCTCTCTGGATTTTTATTTTTCTTTAAGAAAAGAAAAAGGAGGAAAAAAAAAAAGGAAAGGCAACTAGAATGAAAGAGCACTGTTGACAGGAGAAAATGGTAATTTTTTTATTTTTCTCTGAAAATACTTCAAAGTTTTATATAAATATTAACCTTTTTCCCCACCCATTCTTCAGCGTGCTGCTGCAGAGCACAGATAAATCCAAGTGGCTGTGGCATGGGCATTTAATTTCCTTAAGAAGTTTTCTCTGCTTCATGGAAAAATGTTGTCTGAGACCAGAAACGTAATTGGATGATTAAAGAGAGTCATCTACATCTGGTTATGGTTAATAAGGGCCAGTACAAGAAGACTGGGGTGGCCCCGCAGGATCGTCACAGCGCGCTCTAGAAATTAGGTGATATTAGAGGCACGAGTCTCAGGTCAGTGATTGCCTCTCGCCGCTTGTTATCAGAAGATTGAGGCGAGGGAGTGGGGTGACAAGAAGAAAAGTGCCTTTTGGATTTGCCGTCTAAATTGCGAGAAGCCTAATTACAAAAAGTCTCGGGCACCAGCCTGCCTGTGCCTGGCGTGGCAGGAACCAGGCGTGTGCCGGATCTGCTCCTTATTAGGCTCCGAGCTCTGCATATGGTGTTCTGCTGACCCCACGGCTCTCCTAAGACGTGCTTGGGGGAAATTAGCCAGCAGATGAGCCTACGAGGGACTGAGCATCTTAGCTGAGACCCTGAGCTCTTGTAATCCCCTTTGACTTCAGGCAGAGAGAGGCGCTCCCAGCACCAGTGGCTCCTGAAGCTGTCCTGCTGGGAAAGGAGCAAGCTGATTTTTTTTTTATTATTTTTTTGCACATGTATGCACTGATTTGTAGGATTTCATTCTTTTCTGAGCACGTGCCCCAGAGGAGCCCTGTGTAAGGAGACAGTGGCAGGAGCACGCAGCAGTGTCTGTGTCCCGTGGATGATCCAGCCAGCTTCGGTTCAGTTTGTTCACCCCCCTGGGGGGGCTCAGTTGTGTTTCTTCCCCCACAGCTGTAAATCAGAAGATCCCAATCCTCTTCTGCACATGCAGAGAGGAATTTCATGTGTACATCTCCTTCTTGTGAGGGATCTGTGGGTTCATCTCTGCTCCTTGCTGCCTGATGCAGCAAGGCCCGTGAACGAGGCTTAACTTTTAATTCCCAACACCTTCCCCAAGACCATTGATCGGGGTCCACTGATCCAGCTGCCCTCCTGGGTGAGGCTTTTCGTGGTCAGGGCTTCCTCTTGAGCTTCGAGCTTTGCACTCGGATTGCTTCGTAGGAGTTGTGAAAGCATTCTTACATGCAGCTTTAATATCGTGTGTTTCTGCCAACACTTTTTGATGAATGAAAGCCATTACGGTTTGAAATTGCTGTAATCAAGTAATGTGATATTGTAATGTTAAACTTGTAATCAGTTCCCTGCATGTTGCTCTCTCCAGGTTTTTTTAACTTGCTAATTCTTCCTTTAAGTGTTCATTTTGTTCAGCCCAGCCCCTTAATGAAAGGCTTAGTATCCCAGCAAAAATAGCATTTTCCCTTTCTTTTTTTTTTTTCTCTAGAGCAAGGGAAACAACATCTTGCCAATATTCATTTATCACGTTATCAGTTGTTATCATTTTCTAATAATTAGTATCAGCCCCCAGGCTGGGGGGTCTGCTTGTGACTAGAGAGAGGATTGAGAGATAAAAAGACTTTGATAGTCTCAGCGTCGTAATGTTCACACTGCCATTAGCGAGGCTGCTGGTAGGACTTGGATTTCACTCAGAATGTGCTTCTGAACTTCCAGATGTGAGCTCGTATCAGATGGCTTCTTGTCTCTGAACAAGTGGTGTGGCTGAAAAGGCTCTTTTCATGTCACATCTTGTGCTGGTGCATCCTGGTGCTAAACATGCTTGCTCTTGCTCTTGATTTGAATGTATCTGCTTCCATTTACTGTGTCGCTGGCTAATTAAACATTCTACTGCAGATAACTCTAGCGTACCCCAAGGAGGATGGGAGCAAAGCTTCAGAAAGAATCAGAAGAGAGTTTTAGGTTTTTAAAACATAAATAAGACCAGAGAGATAAGTATGGCTTCCAATTAAAGCAAAAACAAACAGGAAAACAACAACAACAAAAAATCTTTGTAAATCTCCTTTGGAGCCAAAACCAGATGTTTTTTCTCCCTTATTAAAATATATACTAAAAATACCACAACTTTATAGTTCTCGAATTGTTGGAAATGGTTTGCAGATGAAGTCATTGGGCTCTTTTTGTTGTTATCCATCTATCCTTGTGCTTTCTGCAAACCCTCTCAGGGTATTTTGGACTACAGAGATGATCTGGTGAGGGAACAAATCAAGGACTTTTTTTTTTTCTTTTTTTCCCTTGTTTTAAATGTTGATTTTTCAATTCACAAGTGACTCAGAATTTGCTAAATGAGGTTGAACTCTGCAAAAAGATGCTCTGGTAGGTGGCCACATGGAGAGAAGTGAGAAGAAAGAGAAAAACGAAACAAAATGCAAATGCTTTTTGGAAATGAAGACATATTAATCATCTCCTTTCGATTTTCTTTTAATGTGAGGTTTGCTGGTGACTGCAGAGGGAGGTATTCTTAAAAGATGCTTAGCAGGGAAGGCGGATCAGGAAGCAATACTGCTGCCTGGGAGGAAACCAGCCTCTCATTATGGCTTTTACCGAAGGTCTTTTTGCAAAAAGCGTTTCTGTTGATGTTTCAGGTCAGTCATCAGCTGGGCAACGTGATGGATCTCTTCACTACCAGCCTCTCCCTGGCGGGTCTGCAGCCTCCGAGTGACAGACAGATTGACGGCATCGACCTTTTACCTGCCATCTTGCAGGGCAAGCTAATTGACAGGTTGGTTACGAGCCCAGAGCTACGACCCTTGCCTCCTAACTGAAGTGGTGCCAAAGTTTGGATTATTTAAAAAAAATAATAAATTTACAGGAATATTTAATAAGCTGAGCTGACACATATTTGCTCCTACTCAGTGAAGTGAGGTAGCACCAGAGATTTACCCTGTGAATTAATCCTCTGCTGGAGCAAGCGGAGGTGACATTTCCTGACACGCAGCGTATGCCATTCAGTGGAGGCTGGGGACAGATGCAAATGTCAGGGGGTTAGCAGGGATCCCTGAAACAGCATATGGCAACAAGGGAGATAGGTCTGGGAACTGTAGCCAGGGTAGGGGCAAAGATATCATTTTTAATACTGGAAAAACATCCAAGAGTTTGCTGGCTCTTTGCAGAATATAATTCCAGTTTGAGAGAGGTTGAAGTTAAAGGCTGGGCTTTTGCAGGTGAGCCAGAAGCCCACCTCTTCCCAAGGTCCTGGTTCTTTGGTTGCTTTTAGAATCAGAGAATCATTCAGGTTGGAAAAGATCTCTAAGGATATATTCGGATTAGAGACCTGGGATCTTTATGAGCATGGAGGAGTACTGTCAGCAGTTGGGTAGAGGCGCTAAGATTTGACAGCAAATATTCTCGATGCCCTCTTTGAAAGGTTTGGAGGTCAAGAGAAATCTTTTAGTTCTGATTTTGGTAAGTAATTTGGCACCCTGGAGATCTGAATACAAACATATTCTTTGTCTGTGACACAACAAGGAAACATACACATGCAAAACATTCTTTTCTTTGTATGATGTGAGCCTTTGTTCCATAAAATTCCTCTTTGTTAAAGCAAGGAATGTGTGCCAGTTACCTGAGAGTTCATCCAGTGGCTGCCTAGGAGGTGTTGCGTGTTCCTCAAACACAGCCTATCACCATCTTTACATCCGAAAGTTTGTGGAGCTGCTGTGTCTTATAAAAAGAGAATTTCACTGCAGCCACCAATCTCTTGCAGCAGTGCCATTTGTGTTACAATGATAGTCACTCAAGGGCATGATAGCTTGCTTTTTTTTTCCCCCAAGACCTGAATGGGAGGTCACAATTCCAAGAGCCCCCAAAACGTTGCAGAGGATGCAGTTGTAGGGTTTTTTTTTTGTTTAAGTTTAAAAGGTTAAAGCAATCAAGGAAAAAGAAGTTGGTAACAACAGAATTTTGAGTATAAGGTGTAAGCCTCTGTCAGAGATGGATTTTATTTTTTTTTAAATGCAAACCTAACCCCCACACCTTCAGTTCCATGGGTACATACAGCTTGTCACACAATCAGTATTTATGGCAATGAAAAAGGAGACTAATGTGTTTTCAAGCGTGGCATATTTGTTTGGACACTTTATTTTGTTAATGGGCCTGGTTTAGGATCAGGTTCTGCATTTTGTCACATTTATCAAGCAGTCTTTATTTCACAGGCATTTCAGGTTTTAGGATGCAGGACTGGGCACTGTGAGCAACAGCATTTCCCCTTTCTTCAGGAGCAGTTCCTGCTGACAAAGGACAAAGGCTCATTTTTTGTGCAAGGAACCTGCAGGGGAGGCCACGATTTTGCAATAGGAGAGATCTAAGGCCACTCCTGTCATTCGGACGTGGAGATTTTAATCTTATCTTGTGTGTAGGGACTGTTTTTTTTTCAAGGTGGCATCACCAGAGAGGAGTTTTTGCTTAGTGCCATCTGAATCAAAGACGAAGATGTCTGCCCTTATCACCGTGATAAGCAACTTCGTGGTCTCATCCTGTCAAGCAGCTGGAGAGAGCGATGTCTGATGTCCTTGTGTGATGAGCTGCAGCACCAAATCAAACCTCTCTCCTGCAGATAGCCCATTTCTGTAAAATTTTGTACCGTTCCCTCAAAAAAACGAGAGCACGTTATCAGGAAAACCAACGAGTGTGGTGCTGGGATGCCCAGGTAGTGCCCGTACGTGGGTGCAGACTGCGCTCTGCACGGGGGATCTGTACTCAGGAGAACCGTAGGGAAGAATTTGGAGCTTTCAGTGATGTGTTTAGGTGATGCAAAGGGAAGATCAGGGAAAGCAGACGGACAGGAGTTCAGTGTGGCTGGCTGCCAGTTTTTTTCACATGGGATTTTTCTGAGCTGACACCCGGAGCAGGTCAGCAGCTGGTGTCCTCCCCAGCCATCCTGCCTGTCTGACAGGAACAGCATAGATCTTGGTGTTGCCATAAAGAGGAGTCTAAGCATTGCATATTCTGTGAATCCCTGTGTTGTTGTTTTTTTTTTTCACTCTCTGGCAGACGCACACCACTTCTGAGACATTTGGTGTTTAAATCGGCGTGCTCTATAGGAAATAACAGGGTCTGATAGTTCAAGGATTAACAATCACTGGCAGCCAAGCTGTATAATGTTTCATTCTTGCGCCGTGTGAGCTCTCAACTTGATGAACACTTTAAAAAATGTTAATTGAAAACCTTGCAGTGGAGACTATTAGGAGGCAGCCTGTTTCTGACTGATAGCTGGATCGGAAGTCAGACGCCGTTAAAGTGTTTGTCTCCCTTATCAGCAAGGCTGCGGCAGCAGCTGCCCAGGCCCGGCGTGTTGGTGTTTCTCATGCAGTTCTGCTCTCCCTTGCAGGCCCATATTCTATTATCGTGGCAACGAGATGATGGCCGTGAGAGTCGGGCTTTACAAGGCTCACTACTGGACCTGGAGCAACTCCTGGGAGGAGTACAGCAAGGTAACAGGGCGCTGACCCTTGTCTCGTTCCTTCTCCCCTTCCCTGCTCGTTCTCCTGGGGGGAATAACCATTTACAGAGGAGTTTTAAATTGGGGAATGTCACAGAGCTCTTGCAAACCAGCCTTTTATCAACAGCCTCTGAAGAGCTACCAGATCTAATGGTACTGGTGTCACCAGCACGCCAGTACTGAAGTCAGAGACAAACAGAGGAAAATGAGCAAAGTCTTGAGTTGTTTTACGTGGCGCTCTCTTTTAGCAGCACTTAAATTTCCTTAATGTTAAGCTTCTTTCCCTGCTGAATTCTGAACTTTCACGTGTATCCTTACAAGGTCTGGAAGCAAATTGGTCACGTACCTTGCAATATCTGGTGAAAAAGACTGAGTGTGCCCTGAACTATACAAATGGAGTAGGGCTGTGATTTGTGGTTTAATTTTGTTTGTTTGTTTTGGTGTTTGCTTGTTTTTGTTCCTTTTTCCTAAATGGGAAAAGGAAAGCTGTAGGGACCATGCAGTGGAAAGAACAGCAGTCACTGAAAACAGTAGAGTACATATGTTTAATCTATTACCAGCACTCTTTGCAAGCCCATATCACTCCAGAAGATGTTTTATATTTTGTTTGCCAAGTAGGCACTGCTTTTGTAATTTCCTCGCTGATCTTCTCACAATTAGATGTTAAGCGCCGTTATTTTTCTTCTTTTGTGTCTTTCTTGCCTCAGACTTGGGTACTAAACTCTGGGGCATTTCTTGAAAGGCAGGTTCACACATGTGCCTTGCTGATTATACCGTTAGACATGAGCTAAATGTATTATGGCACAGCTCTCAGCAATTTTGACAGCAGGCCGGTATTGGGGAGGAATTGTTTGTATGATTTATTTTTTATGTCTTTTTTTTTTTTTTGACTTACGGTGGCTCCTCAAGGCATCACAGGTGCAGAAATAAGTGCTGATGACATTTGTAGATGTAAAAGTGCGTGGTTTCACTGGGAAGTCCTGGAGGTAGAAGGAAGCACCAGCTCCGAGGGAATCATTTACACTCAGGGCTGTAAACGTGTGGGTTTGTCTTTTTAGGACTGCATTGCTCCGGGAGTCAAAGTTTTGTTTTACATGGAGTAGGAAGGAAAGTTGACTCAAAAATGCCTTGCACGCTCTGTGTCAATGCTAATACTGCCTGGCTAAAATGAGATAATGTATTTGTCGAGGTTTGTACGTGAGCAGAGCCCACGTGTCATATGTGGAGGATTTTCCTGGGTGAGAGCAACTGGGAGCTTCTCTGTTCGTGTGTATGGGTGTAGGAATGGGCTCAGGCATGCTTTTCCCATGTGCCTGGAAGATAATGTCACACATGACTAATTGCTTTCTGTTGTAATATATGCACAAACACACACCTACACACCTAGTTTGGAAATAAATAAATGCCTGCATTGATCCGAGCTTATTTGTAGATGTCTGGGTATGTGTGTGGCTGTGATAATGGGGAGCGGTTCCTCATCTCAAAAGCTCTCCTACTGCGAGAAATGGCAGTTGTGCAATTAAGGAATATTTATTTCTTTCTGAGTCTTTGTTTAACTGCTGTCTGATAAAAGTCAGCAATTATACTGTACATCAGAGAGATGATTAAAAATTCACTTGCTTTCCTGCAGCTTGTATCACATGTGGTTGATGCGGGTAAAATTGGAGCACATTAGTGGACAGACCAGCCATTAACAACACGCAGAGGAAGCTGAGGCTGAAATTTGTTCCAATTCTCCTCGTGTCCTCGAGCCATTAATTACAAGCCTCGCAAGTTTAAAAATAGAAATAAATCAGAATGCAGAGCAGTTCCACAGTTCTGAGCCTTGGTTGAGGAGTTTTGTAATCTCACCTTGTGATACGGTTGCCTCTCTCAGTGCCTCGTGTTCTCGGCTGTTTTGGTACTGGATTAAATTATTCTGCCAGAATCAAAAAGGCCGATTTGTTTGCTAACCAGTGAGTTTCTTTTGACCAGTAACTTTTGACCAGTGGGTTTCAATCCATGCACGTGTGGCATTAGAAATTCTGCCTGTCGTCAGGTTTGCCGTTCGATAAATTTGATTTGCCATCCCATTAGAACTCCAGCTAATGAGGCCTCGTTAGTTGTGTGATCTTCATGGGTGCTTCCCTCGGCGTGAATCCAGTTTAAAGATTTATTAAACTTTCAAATGTAAAATTCTTCCTGTCCGAAGGGTCCCAACTCAGAGCTGGGATAAATAGCTGTATCTGGTTGGCATGTCAGTCGTTTGGAAGAGGGCTGGAGTTGGCCAGATGTGTCAAAACAGCTGTCTGCAGTTTTTTCAAGGTTTGTTTTATGGGTAGTTGAGTATCTAATTATTTTGACGGATACAATGCACGTTTTAGCCAAACCTCCTTTTGCTTTCAAATTCCCTTGTTAATTGGCCGTGTGGGAAATCGGTGATTGATACAGAAATCGTGCGCTGGTTTTAATCCGTGCGTTGTGCATTTTTGTGTGACTTTTAGATGAGATTATACCCTGAAAGCATCCAGAATCACATTTTCGTGTTGATATTGGAAAAATGTGAAATTGTTGCATGCCCTGGGTCTGAGCACAGTCGTGTCACTTTAGGACTACCAGGCCTTTCAGGATTAACTAGAAAGAATGTGTGCAATGTTGGCCTCTCACCTGGAAAGCTATGCGCTCGAATATGGTGTAAGTTCATTAAGTAATAAACTATGTATGTACAAATAAAAACTCAACCAGAGAGAAGCAGCTTATAGAAAGTAAAGCCTTGGAAAGCATAACAGGCATGTGAGTACTTCTCTCTATGTGGCACGTGGAGTATTTACACTGGAAAGGTCCCACACGAGCAGTGCGCAGGTTTACGGTCGTCCTAGACTCCCATGACATTAGCATGCCCTTACTGGTCTGCCTTATGGCTTGGGATTAAGATCTGTTATCTTTCACAAAGCTGAAGTGTGCTGTTCTCTTCCTCCTATTTCTTATTTTTTAACCCCCAAGCAATGTTTCCTAATTGACTCCTCTCATAAGCTCTTGCAGTCTTTCTCAGTGCTGGAGGACGCCCTGGTGCCATCTTTCCTGCTGCCTTAACGGGATTACTTGGGCAACTTGCGTGCTTGAATGGTTTGTCTCCTGGAAGCATGAAGGGAACACTCATCAGAAGTCAGAGTAAGCGCTCTGTGGGGCATTGTTCCAGCAGATTTTGGGACAGGTGTGTCCTCCAGTGTTCAGGAGATACAGCAAATGCCCACAGCTGTATCATAGCTTCACACTGCACCCTGGCAGAATTCAGTGATGTGATCGGTCTTCTCCCAGCACGGGGCAGAAGGGAACGCAGAACTAAGGATAAACCCAGAGAGCACCCCTCCTGTACAGCACAAGACATGTGAGCCTCTTACTGGGGTGCAAAAAGGGTGACAAATAACATGTGGGACCTCGTGTTTCATGCCCTGCTGTTTTATCGCTGCTGGTGCCCGCAGCAGTGATGCTGGGTGCACAGCTTCCCGTTCCCAAACTTTTTGCTCAGGGTTTTCATTGTTTTGTCCAGCTGATGGAAGGGAGAGGGACGTTTGATTGTCCTTGTTTGGATACCGGGACCTGAAAGAGGAAAAACTGGGTGTTCTCTGTGGCTTTACCCATGAGCCAGCAGAAGAAAGGAGATCTCCTCTCTACCTGCCGCAGAGATTATCCAGCAGAGAATAGCTCTTGTGCCTTGCACGAACAGTGATGCACGAAGGAAAAAAAGTAAATTTTAAAAAAAAATCGTGGTAAAAGTCCCCTGGTTCATTGGAGAGTGGCTGATAACATCAACCTTGCTGCCGTCAGCTGAGGATCTTGTTAGTAGCCGACAGCGATTTTTCATAAGGGCCCCCGTGTCTGTAAGTGCTTGGGGTAGGTGCCGGTGAGAAGACCCCATTGTTTTAATGTGAAATGCCAACGGGGTTATTCCTGCACGGTCTGTCTGATTGCCCTTCTCGTCAGCGTGAAGGGATCGATAAAGCCTTTTCTGCGAGGGGGATGTGAAGTCAAGTAGAACCTCACAAATAATGACATTTGATTGTGGTCCTCCGAGCGCAGGAGCTGGCCATTGATCGCTTCTGCTTGGAGGCTCGCCGATCTGCCCATCTTCTGGGGGCTCTTCCAGACGGTTAACACATTAGGAGCAATTTTTGTTCGACAGGGTTGAAACTTGGCAGTCACGCTCGGAGGTGTCTGGTCAGTCAGAGCTCCGGCCTGCGAGGCTTTCGCTGGGAATTGCCAGGGGAGTGAGAGCAGCCGCTTCCCAGCACCGTGGCGAGCAGCGAGAAGCAACGTCCCTGGCTTTAATTAACTGTTCTCTCCCTCTGATATGAGCACAGCTCCGCAGCTCCAGGTCTCGTGTGGTGGGACGAGGAGACACGAGCAGGAGACGGACCCCGGATTTGCTGCGCCGCTCTCGAAATCCGCAGCCGCTCGTCGAGTCGGAGCGATCTGGGATAGCGCCAGGGTGACGAATTGCCAGAGGGCTGACGTTGACACAAGTGGTGATTCCATCGCCTGGCGGAGAGCCCAAACTGGCAACCGGCTGTATTTGTCTCATGTCTATATTGACATAGCATCTGTGGTCCATTTGCTCTGGAAATTAAAGCATAAGCTGTGCAACCGATTGCCACTAGGTCTTAGGAACGGAAAAACAATCCAGGTTACACAATTGCTGGGAAGAAGAGCAGAAAGACGTGCTCGCTGAGAGGTTTACCTGATGTGCAAGAAGGTTTTTTTTATTTTTATTTATATAAAAAAAAAATCTCTGGAATTTCTCCTACAGCAAACAGGTCTGCGCGGTGGTGCAAAGCACTGCCTGTGCGAGAGCTCTGGTGCAGAAGCTGAAATCCTTCTGGTTGCCATCTGATGCTCTTTTATTGGTTCCCGGAGAAGCAGAGCTGATGTGCTTTAGATAGGATCTTCTGGTTTGGCTTTCATGCTTTTATAGCCGAGGAGGAAAGCTCCAAGAAAAGCTTAAACACGGGGTGACCTTTCTACTTTGTTTGATCAGCGTTACTGTAAACATGCAAATTACCTTGGATGGTGTGCAGAGCGAAATATTAGGCATGTGCTTTAACTGGCTATTGATCCCCTGCATATTGTTATTAACAGCCTGCCAAAGAAAGAGCTTTGAGTAAATAATAACGGGCAGAGTGGGGTTTTGTTATCCTGGTGGGCAGGCAGGCGTGCCCACCTACCTCTTTGCTCTTTTCCACATAACATAACTTTACTTTTGAGGGAAGTTTGCAGTCCTGATGGCAGTGGTAGAGAAGCTGAGCCAGCCCCTTGCCGGTGGAAATCAGGGCAGTTCCCCTGCTGCCCGTGGAACAAGGTGGCTTTTCTCCAGCTGAGAATTTGGCACATCTGTGTTTCCTGGTAAAGCCTGCAGTGTCCTTAGAGGCTATAGGGCATGTCGGGGGGAAAAAAAATAAAAAAAATTAAGGAAGAGCAAGAAATGATTGAAAACGTTGATGTGATTTTAAATGGTCATCTAGTGACCATCGCCAACAGGAGGAGACTCCCATCCCTCACCAGGTCTGTTGTCCTCCACCCTTACAGGAGAGCAGAGCTGGTTTCCCTTCTGCCCTGCTGGATGGCAGCTCCAGTTCTCCCAGTAAAGGGCTTTGGCACATCCCTTCCCCATCTCTCAGCAGCACCCGTGGCCAAATCTGCACGCTTTCCAAGCAACTAGAGGCATTGTCCAGATGCTCCGGAGTGTGGGTTGTCTCATCGTGAAATGCTGCTCACATCTCGGGCAGCTTTAGTGTACACTGGTTTGGCTCCAGAAAATAAAAGCAATCCAGACTCGAGGATCCCAGACCTGCAGCTTGCTGGTGGAGCTGACTTCTCTTTCCATCCTGAGAACCGAAAAGGCTTTGAGATAAGAATCAGAAGAGAGTAGAGCTTGTGAATGATAAATTAAATGTTCTTTTCCGTCAAATGGGCAGAAGACCAAGCTCCACCAGCTGAGGCTCAGTGCATTGCTTCCTGGGATGCTGGGCAGTGCCTTGAGAGCAGGGTTATAATTTTATATCTTGTATTTTGCTCATTTGCCAATGACCGACTAGAAAGCACGTTGAGCTGTCTCTGCCGGTTGGATATTAGCAGCCACACACTACATAAAAATAATAACGACCTGTTATATTTGTGGAGATGAAGTTGAAAAGCCTCCGAAATTCAAAGTGTGGTTCCAGCAGCGCTCGAGGAGAGTTATTTCTGGGTCACAAAACAGTCGGTTTGGTTATTGCTTTCCCCAGCAGCCTACCTTTGAGCAGGGCATTGGCTGCTGGGGTTTGGGGACAGCTTTTGGCTGGAGGCACCGGGCGAGGAGTCGCAGCACCTTTCGGAGCAGCCCCTGGGACCTGGCCTGTGCCGTGTGCTGGAGCATCAGCCACGGGGAGCAGGAGAGGAAATGCAAACAGAGCAATGGATAAACAAATACCCAGGAGACTGAAATCTTTCAGACTAACGCATTTGCAGCTGAAGAGTATTGTACCAATTAGCAGGCTCTTAATTAAATTGCTTGTTTGATTTGCATCCAAATTATAATTTGGATGTTATGTAGGCTTTGATACCTTTTCATTAACCGTTCCTTTTGGAAGAAAAAAAAATAATCTATTTTTCACTCGGTTTCAGAGGCCTGTGGCATCAGAAGGTGGGAAGGTCAATCATTTTTGTATCCATTTAAAGTCCATTATGGGTCGGTCACTACAACCTATCAAGCAACTCTCTTATTTTTCCAGTCAGTGAGTCAGGAATCTATAGCTGTGTGCAGATAAATGGGATTTTATGGGCTTCTAACCTCCTTGCTTTATTGAAAAGCGGAATATTAACTGCTCCACTGCCCAGCTGTCCATTAAAAACACGGGATATTTTTAGAAAATTGTTTGCCAATCAAATCCTACCCACATCTGTAGAGAGCCTTTCAGTTTGTTTGTTTTATAAGCAAATCCTGCAGCTGCCTTCCCACCTCCATTGAAATATTCCCACTTACCTTCTCTCCACGCCTCTGTCCGTGTCTCGGGGCATTTTGAAGCATTGTGAGGGCGCAGCGTGGCAGCTGGAATTGTAAAAACCGAGCTTTAACAAGTCCGCTCGGTGCTAGCCCGTGCCGGTCTGCGGGGCCCCCTGCTTTATTTTCTGTTCAGTGAAATGAGCGTTTTACGTTTTTTGCACTTCCCAGGGCTAAACGAACTCTGTTCACCCCCCAGCCCAGGCTCGGGGTTATTAGGGAGCTTGGCATCTGGCTAATCACCCGCTGGAGCTGGGGAGACGCAGCCTGGCGAGGCGTGCGAGGGCAGATCTGCATCTGCTCTTGGCTCTGGGAGCAGACAGCTCGCTCTGTCCCTCAGCAGCCACCCAGCACTTGAACCTGTTGCTGCTGGCAAGCAGCGAGCCCCAGCCCTTGTGCCCTTCGTGCTGCTGCTGCTGGGGAAGTCGCAGCCTCTCACCCTGCAGACTTAAATGTTAGCAGCAGGAATCTCTCCTCCAGGCAGAACGGGGTTCTTTCAGCACAGCTCGCGATCCCAGGTGAGCACCACCAGCTTTGAGATGCTGCAAATCAGGTCTACAAATGCACTAATTTCTTTAAAATTAACCAATTTGCTCTGCTCTTCAGTGAAGCATTTCCTTCAGGCCTGATGGCATGACAGGTTTTCAGGGAGGCTGGTGGGTGCCCACCGCCTCTCAGGGTGATGCCCCTCGGTTTGGCCAGATCTTTCCCCTGGGAAATTGGTGCTTTTTGGTGAGAATTGCCCCGTGATCTGAATCCCTGTTTATTTCCAAGCCATGGAAAACCAAAGAGAGAGATGCTTTCCCCATGAAAAATTCTTATGATTAAATGGTTTTGTGTTTTTCGTCTTCTGTTGTGCCGTTTCATTTTAATGAATATTTTATAGAGATTACTTTTTTTATAAGGCAAAACCGTAAGGCCTGCTTCAGCTTTTATATCAGTACAGTGCCAATGTTGTCACCTTGTTTTACCTCATCAGATCAGAATCCATTTTGGACACTATAGTGGACTCTCTAGGTTTAAACCAATTCTGGGGTTTGTGGCTGTGTTGGAGCAAGAAGCTGAAGAAAGCAGCACCAGCTAAAACGTTGCTCCCTCACCTGCTTCACCCCTGATGACCTCTTTTCTCCTCTTCACTGCAGGGCATTGATTTCTGCCCTGGGCAGAACGTCTCTGGAGTGACAACGCACACGCAGGAGGAGCACACCACGCTGCCGCTGCTCTTCCATCTGGGGAGGGACCCTGGAGAGAAGTACCCATTAAGGTGAGCAGTTAACGAAGATGTGCAAACCCTCAGCACCATCAGCCTTTGCTTTATGTGATTCGTTTGCCTCGATAGCTGGTTTTTACAATCTGCTTGAAAACCGTCCCAAAAAGCTGTCGCTAGTGAGAACAGCAAATAAAAAGGACCAAATATTTTCAGTTGGGTGAGCTTAGATGGATGTGCACATGTCCAGTGGCTCTGCTTATGAGTCTTGTTCTGTGTCCTAGCACCCCTGATGGAGAAGCCAAAACGTTTGCTTTTGGATAGAACAGAGGAACTAAGTGAAGGGCAGATGTGGAACAAAGCAGTGGTGAGGAGTACGTGCACTGGAGCTAGTCTCCTGCAATTCCCAGTGTGTTTTGGGGCTAGGGAAGAAGCATCTAGTGATCTTTCTTGCCATGGTGTTTTTTCTACATGCTGCATTGGAATCTGGGAAGGCAAATTGGGTAATCTTCCAATTTCCTAGCCCCTGCTAGAGGAGCTTCTCCAGAGAGTCTTTGCAAGAGGACTTCCTGCCCAATCCTTTTCCCTCTCTGGACTCTCCTGGCTATCTAAATCCATTTTCCTATAAGCCTACTATTGTAATATTTATCTCCAGCACACACCATGCCCTGAGAGATTTCTGTACGGATTTATGTAGCCATCAGCCAGCGCAGTCCACACATCAATCTGGCATCTCCAAAATAGCTGCCAAGGTGTCCCCACCTCCCTCCCGCCTTCTGCTGGCTTCACTTTTACCCTCTGGCAGAACAAGATGCAGCCAGAGGCCTTCAGCCTCGTCCCTCACTAGTGGCCCTGCCTCGGGGAATGTGGAAATAAATAAAGGGAAAACCAGTGCTGCTCTGCCTGCCTGTGCAGAAAGGGTTTTGTGCAGCAGCTTTACCAGAGAGATGTTTTCGGAGCTGACAGGGCTGCAATTACTCAACTGTTTTAAATAATTGAGTGGATAGACTCGCTCCATTACTTCCAAAAGAACTGAGCCTGTGCTGTCCACTAAGTGTTTTCACTAGAGAGAGAAGGGGAGGAAAAATATTTTCACTTCTCTCTCACTTAACAGACGAGCACCCTAGAGGTACATTATACAGCGTATAAAGCTCTTCAGAAGCCCAGCACGTTAGCTCTTGCTTTCTATTGCATTTCAGCACTAATGAATAAAGCAACTCTGCAGCTCCTGTGTTTTAAATTCAGCTCAGTGAAATGATGCTACTGGGTTGAGATTCCAGATGAGATGATGCTCTGTTCAGTTTAACAGCTATTTTATTTTAGGAGGATGGATGGATAGAGAAAGACCTCTTTTTCCTAAAATCAAACAAATGGTAGTGTTAAGTAAACTGTAGTTTCTCTTATTTGCGTACTCTCAAATTCTCCCAAATGTGAGGGAGAGGAGATCTTGCTTAAAGGGTGTTTGCAGGACACATGCTTCCCTCTTATTAGCTGTTCCTTACAGCCACCGTGGGCTGAGCATTGAAATAAATTCCAGTGTTACATCTGCAGTCACTTCTTATATGGCTTCATTGATTTTTTTTTTTTATTATTATTATTTTTTGGACACTCAAAGCTGTTTCCTTGATTGATTTTTTTTTTCTACCAAGATGAATACACGATTGTGGAGAGCTGCGATGTTGTTTAATATACAGAGCGTAATAGAAAGCTTCTCCTAGTAAATGAATCTTCCTTTCTGCAGCACGTTATGTTGCTATTGTCTCCTCTCTGGTCACAATGGCAAAACTCATGGGAAGTGGGTCTCCTATATCCAAGGCGGTAATTAAATTATCCTCATTTGTGGAGCTGTTTCTGTTGTGTATTTTTATTTAGCTTAATTATCCCCCTTGGCAGCCAGCCTGTTGGGAGTCCCGACACTGCTGTTTCTCAGAAGGGAATCCAGCGTTCCCCTCCAAGCATGTATCTGTCTGTCCGTACACGCTGGCTGTTTTCGGATCGCTTCAGCTCCAGCCTGAGGTTTTTGTGTCTTCGCAGTCCACGTTGGCCCCGCTCCTCCCTTCGTCCTCAGGCAGCCGTGGAGGAACAGGGTGTATCGTACAGCTCTTCCACCAGCGTGGCTCCTCTGGAGAGTCATTACGTTGCCAAAGCATTTAGGAAAAATTGTGTTGCATCCCTGATTTCTTGGTACCTTTCTCTCTCCTATTTAATTTACTTTTACTGCTTTGCCTCGTGAAATCCACACTGGGCTTCGTTATTTTATTTTTGCTGCTGTTCTGAAGGCTGGGAAGAGGCAGCACGGTACACTGATTTCCTCTGTTTCTCTGTCTGCTTTCAATCATTTATTTATTTTTTTTATTCCTTTTTTTAGTGCTACCTTTCCTTCTCCCTAAGATGATTTTAGTCATCTGCTATGTCTCTTGGCACAGGGTCGCATGCAAAACCACCTGTAAAGAGGTTTCGTTGCTTCAGCTGAAGGACAGGTGTCTCACACGCCTCCAAAGAGATTCTAGTGCTTATATATTTGGGCTCCTTTTAGGATCTTAGGAGATCTCAGAGCCAGGGCATCCTGGAAATCAATCAGATCAGTCAGCTGCGGCGACGCTCTTGGCTTACACTCAGGCAATCTCGTTTGAAAAGGCTTTGGGTCGTGACACTGCGCACCAGGTACTGTGTGGCTTTTTCAAGGCTTTGATTTCAGTTCATCTCCAAACGTGGGGATTAGCCTTTTCAGTCTTTCCTGGAGAACTAAAGGGATCGCTGCAGATTCAAGCCCTTTGAGATCTAGGGACAACACGTCAAGTTCTCAGTTCTCTGGGTCTCGTGGTGAAGCAGGACAAGTCCTTCCTCTTCCTGACGCAGCTTGCTGGATTTCCTGGAGTTTGCCTGGAAACGTTATCAGCAAAAGCTTCTCTCCCCCAGGAGCACTTTTCATACGGTGGAAAAAATGGTCAGGCAATTACAGGCAGCCCCTGTCATCATGTTGAGGATGCGTCTGGCAGTCTGGGGCCATATGGCACCCTGCACTTCTGTTCCTTGACGTGGAAGATCGTGCACGCATCCCTGTGCATGTCTCTTCCTTCCTGCTACTGCCCCTCTGTTTTGGGCTGGATCACCTCCAGCATCTCGGCTGCTGCCAAGGGGCATAATTGTGTTGGTCCCTGTTGCCTCGAAAAGATAATTGCTGACATTTCTCTGCCTGGTTTGGGACTTCACCCCGGCAGCCCAACAGCTCCACCAGCTTTGCGTGTGGTTAGTCGGAGCTCACGGCAGTGCCAGGAGCACGTTATGGATTCTCACGCTGCCTGAGCTTGCCCAAGGCATATTCACATCAGCACCTCAGTGTCTGCATGGGGCAGGATCCCTGTCCTGGAGCTGACCTTCAGGACTCCTGTGTTCACCATCAGCATCAGAGACATCCACTACCAAGCTTTTATCCCCCTCTCTTCTGCAAGGAGAAGGAATCTTCTGATAATTGTGGGGTTCTGGAGTTGAGAGGAGCTTGGCAAGCTCTACGTTTGTATGGCTGCAGGATGAGGTAGGGCACGAACACGTCTACAGGTACTGATAAGGCAAAAATTGACGTCTGGAGAGGTACCTGGAATAAGAACACCTGCAATCTGAAGGTATATGTGGGCAGTCTGTTTCAAAGCAGGGTGGTTACTGGTAAATAATCTTTCTTTTGGTTGCCAGACATGGTAATGTAACTCTTATATAAGTAAGCTACCTTGTTATCTAGTCCTTGTCTAGAGAGAAGTGAACTTTGTGTGTCTTGTCATCCAGGAGATTGACTAGATCTGTGTAGGCTGTGTGATAGAAGGATTTTTTTTTCTCGTTTGTTTTGTAAGCTCTCAACTTTTAAATCTAAATGAGACTGTGCGTTAAGCACCACACAAAGCAGAAGTGTTTCTGTAAGCCTAAGCAGTATTTTGCTTCTTCCCTAGATGCAATGTTTGTTTGGTTTTCTCTTCGTATGAAAGCACTCCAACTGCGGGGTGCCTCTGGTACCAGATTTATCGGAATGCAGGGCTAAAAGATCTGATCACTGCCTTTCTTCACCAAAGTCTGTTACGTTCAGGGGATTGTGAGGCCCCTAAATAACACACAGGGAATTTGTTTCTCCATCCAACCTGTATTTGAGAAATTCAGTCAAATTACCTGTTGGGATCTTCACAACCAATTGCCAGCTTTACTACCCACGTCAAATATTGCTGGTTTTATACGCTTCTAGTAAAATACTCCATGCCAGTCAGGAAGAGCACAAGCAAGAATAGCTAGCAAAATCTGGCATGGCTAAAAATACAGCTACCAAAAGACACCACACGAACGGAAGGACAAAGTGCAGTTTGGGTCAGACTCCGAAGCTGCCAAAGGAGTTCATAACAGAAAGCTCTGAAATTGTTGGTTTGCACCAGAGGTACAAAACAAAGCCTTGATAACAATTAAGTGCAGCTCCCACCTTGCCGGTACTCCAGGTTAATAGCGACTTCTGCTTTGAACTATTGGCTCTGCTCAGAACCGAGTTTAATAAATTGTGAATGTCAAAATACCTATATTTTACTTAGGGCAATAGATTTTACTATTATGGAGAAAAAAAATGGAAGTGATAAGGCTTGGTTGATGAACATAATGATTTTAGAACACATTAATTAACAAAAGAGCTCACAAGTGCCTGTTTTGAGCAGATGGAAAATCCTGAAAATCATCAGAGAGGTAATTGCACTGGTTATGGAACCAGAAAAGACGGGGAGAAGCTCCTGAAGGGAAGCTAAAGGGGAAAGGATCTGATAGGAAAGCTGCCAGTCTCACCTTACCCATCAGGGCAGAAACCTCTCTGTTGAGAAAAGAGAGAGAAGGTGCAAAACAGGAGGAAAAAAAAAAAAAAAAGTGTAACAAAGCCGGAATTTTGCCCAGGGGAGATGCTGACTCCTCATCTTGTGGAAAACAGAAGGAAATGGCAACAGCTGCATTGCAGGAGCGAATTCACTGCTGCCACAGGAGAGGTGGCTTCGAGGAGAACTACAACTGTGGAAACCGTGGGGAACGGTGGATAAAAAGCCTCAGCAATGAACCTGCTGTCCGGTGCCTTACAGCATGGCCTACCCTGTGCTTTTCTATTTGATTCCTTTTTGTTTTTTCTGTGGCCCTTTGAGTCTCTCCGGTAACTGCAAGTTGCCACTGTTCTGGAGTCCTAAACCTGTTGTCTGTGTCATCTATTGTACAGACTTTACATTCCAAATAAATTTAATAATAGAAAAGAGGAGCAGAGGAAGACTGAGTAATGGGACAAGATCAAAACTTGGATACCATGTTGCAGGAGCAGCCTCACAGCACTGATAACAGATAAAACCAAATTACCTGAGCCTGGGCGTGAGTATTTCACAATTAAAAACCAAAGTTTAATTAAAATAATTCAGTGTAGAAGGAATTAAAATACACAAATCGTTAGCCAAGTTTTGTGCTCTGCCCTGACTTCACGTCAATCTGAAAATCTGCAAATCCGAAAGCTGCTGTTGAGATTTCAGTGAATTGCTCTGCAAAATAACCACAGGTACGTTCTTCTGAATAATAACGTGGTTCTGTCACTGCCAGGGCCGAGATACGGTGTTGTGCCCCTGTATGAATCATCAGGAAGAGCTAGAAATTAATACATCGAGATCTAGATTTAAAAAATGCTGAAAGCGCTCTTTGATTTCCTGTGGTTTGGGTGGATTCATTAGGTGGAGAATCGCCCTGTCCTCCTCCTCCTCGCAGCTCAGGATGTCAGAAGACCTAAAGGCAGAGGACTGAGACGCTGCTCCGACACGGGAATCAGGGTGTCAGACAAACCCTTCTCCTTCCAAACCCGAATTTCACCGGAGGGCACGGTGGGGTTAATAGGCGAGCAGGTTACACTCGGAGCTGTTTGGCGAGGGAGGAGATGGGAGCAGATTGCCAAGGCACAATTACACTAAATGAACTAAGCGCAGGCCACACCTGTGCCTGGGACCCCGTGCTCTCCATCCAGCCCTGATTGGCTCTCCAGAGACTTCCCGGAGGTAAAGTGTCAATTAGTGTAATGACCCTGGACTTTGTCCACCCCGCGCGCTCATTCTGAGCGTGGAATAATTCTGTGTGCGCTGGGGGATCTCTTTGAGCAAACTCCTCACAACGCCACCTGCTCACCCGCGCTGCTGCGCTCTCATTCTTCCAGTGATATTCCCAGCTCTCCTTCCGCAGGATTGTCGAGCTCGAATAGAAAACGCGGCGTGCCCTGGAGGCAGCGAGGTCTGGATCCTCGTTCAGGCAATAATGCCTGAACACCTGTACAGAGAATTTTATCTTTTCTTGTCGTGGAGAATGCAGCAAGCCCTGCCCTTGCAGTTCGTATGCTCTCAAGGAAAGGATGGGGCTCTGGTGTAAGGAGAGGAGAGGTTCTCGTCTCCATTAACAACTCAGACTGATTACCATGAAGCAATTATCCCCATCTTACATGCAGATTAAAGGCGTTCTTCCCCTGCAGATTTTGTCGTGAAACGCATTTCTTTCATAGGGCTGGAGACAGCTTTAACCCGCTGCATGCAGTCAGTAAATAATTCACAGAACATTGCATGGATGTTGGGGCTTGTGGGGCGTCGTGGAGCTGAACAGCTTGGTCTGAGCAAGATCCGAGCTCTGCAGAATGAGGAACGGGGACCCTCCAAGTGCTGTGATCCTTCAATAGCAAAAACAGCCACCAGCACTGTTTGGTCACGATGCTGGCTCCGGTGTCACTGCGAATGCAAGCCTCGGGTGAGTGCCATCCTGCAGGAATCGGAGACCAGACGTGCCTCTAGGTGAGAGGCACAGCTCCTGTGATTAACTGAGCCATCTGAAGCCAATTTTTGGTGATCTCCCAGCCTTGAATGACACCTTACGGCACACTCTGTCGCTGCTGTGTACTCGGACACCAGGAAGACAGCTGCAATCGGATATGTTTTAAGCTAGTGTCAACAGGTTTAGTCAGCTTAAGAGCACGTTAAGCCCTACTGAGACAAGGTTTATAGGTTAGCAGTGTGACTCGGAGCATAATCTATACATGTTCTTTAGCTTGAGCCAGCTTTGTGCTTATGTGAGAAGTGCAAGTCTTTTCTACGTGCCAAGCCATTTCCAGCATGCTTTGGGGAAGTCATTCAGCCTATGCTAAATGCTCAAATAATCTAAGAGTGGAGGAGCTGCAGGGGAGAGCAGTTCAAAACCACCACGAGCTGAGGTTAGGCCAAGATTTCCTGTCGCTGCTGAGCTGGCTGAAACAGCCAGGAGCATCCCCAACGTAGGAATTAAAGCAAGAGGCTGATTTAAATGACGTGAGCCTACTTTGTTATGCTGCAGCCTTCACGTGGCTTAGGTTGCTAATGAGCAACAATGCTGTGGATAAATGCGGTATTCAAGATTACAGCAAAAAGATATATATATATTTTTTTTTCACTGCAACAGGACTGGCATATTTGGAGCAAAAACCAGCAGTCATGACAACATATTGTTTATCGTTCATCCAGACCACAGCTGTGTTTTCCAGTGGTCTGTCCAGATTACAGCTAATTTGGACTCGTATGTATGAAAAGCCCTTTCGAAGGATGAAATTGGGCTCTTTAGCACTTAAATATTTGCAAAGATGCTGTGGAGCTTAATTAGTTAGCAGCAACAGTATCTGATGGGTCCACTTCCAAAAGAAGATCTTAAACGCTGGAGAGATGACACGAGTATGTGACAAAAATACACACGTTAGGTGGCTACAAGAGCAGCAGCAGAAGGCATTAACTGATCAGATATCTGTTAGACTCCAACAATTGATTGAAGTCTGTATTAATTCACATTAATCCTTAATACGAGGATTTTAATGAAGTGTGATTAGCTAGGGCTTGGAAGAGCTTCCCAACCCTGAAACAGTAAGTGCGTTAGAAAATCTGAAAACGCTGCAGCACGCGTGTCTCCCTAAGCCATGTTTTGTCACCGTTTACATCCCTCGAGCATGTAGGCTCTGAAATAAAGCCCGTGACACCCCCGTTTCCTCCGGTCTGAGCAGAGCAGGCTGCAGCTCCCATGTCCAACACGCTGCGTGCACCCCCTGGTACTCGCCCTGATTTTGGGTACGCTCCCTCGGCGTGCCTGCCTTTGTTGCCTTTTCTCTCTGCACGCAGGCTCTCCCCTGTTGGCCGTCCTCTGTGTGTCACCAAGGGTTAGCTCGAAATGCTCTCCGCCTCTTTGAAGGATCTGTTTTGATTTTTTTTTTTTCCCAAGCGTGCTGCTGCGCTGGCAATCCTGCGTGCTTGAAACGCGAGCGCAGGGCTGCCAGATAAAATCTTGCCGAGCTGAAAGGCCACTGTGCCACCAGGATGCAACGCTCCCACCTCGCTGAGCCAAGCCACTGCTGCCTCGGGTGTCCTCAGCAAGGGCGTGAGTCACAGATGGTCTTTGGCAGCTCCCAAACTTCTGCAGCCCTCCTTTTTTCAGCTGCCTGCCGTGGGAGCTGAGGTATGGGATGCACGGGAAGAGGAGCGCGCAAATTCGGGAGCTTCGCAGCAGGAATCTTTTAGGGTGATCCACGGGGATCTGATCCTGGTGATCGCCTCTCCACCAGGATCCAGCCAGCTGGGTGTGAGAGCAACAGCTTTGTTTGCTCGAGGTTGTCATTTCCAATTCCCTTCCGCTTCTCTATCAGCAAAGCTCAGGCCCATCCCCGCAATCAGCTTCTCCCTGGATGGCTGCCGAGATGCGATATTTATAGGGCTTACTGGAAACTGTTGGCACATTACTGGGCTTCGAAATGTGATTGTTTTTTAAAGAAGGAAATTAGCTGGAGTACGGGGCTGGTGGCCAGCTTGGACTGGAAGCAAAGGGAGCCTGAGGTCAGGACCAGGCTGCATTGTTCCTCTTTTATCTTCAGAAGCAATTTGCCGCTCTCTGTTTTTGAAGTGGCTCCGAACGTGATGGGCAAAATGAGATCATTGGGTAGCCGGCCTCCGTTTTAGGAATACTTGAAATATGAGCGGAGTACACCCCGAACTGCTTAAACAAGTGCCTACCGGGGTAAGAGTTTGGATACAAATCTGGTAATTTATAACGTGGTATGAGGGCTTGGAGCATGACAGATGGGTCCCAGCTTGGAATAATAAAGCCGAGATGGAAGAATGTAGAGGGGCAGAACCCCGGGGTGGATGTTGCGAAACGGAGGAGGTATTCTTGTCTTGGACAAATAACTTCTATTCTTCTCCATCTTCCTGTTTGCATAATGTTAGTTCTTTTTACTCGGTGATTGTGAAGTTTTACTGGCTAATGGGTGGTTGCGTTTGAAAGCCTTCGCTTAAGAGCACTCTTGAAAAACCAAGTATTGACATTGACTCCCTTCCCTTCAATAAATGCTTCCATGCTACAGAAAAGCCCTCGAAAGAGTGTGGAGGGTGAAAACATCCAGAACTGGGTGACCTCACATGTGGCACAACCCCAACACCCTTCCTTGCTAATGGCATCCCCCAGGGAATCAGGCATTTGGGGCCGTGGGGCAGGCAGATTTCCAAGCTGAAAGCCCCAGGCTGATGATCCGCGGGGAGCCACGTGCCTCTGTGCTGTGCTCCCCCGGGCTGGGCAGCTCATCCCTGCAGCCTCCAAGCCCAGCCAGGATGGATTTTGCCAGCTCAGATGCTTCATTCCCCCACGGACCCGTGGGCGGTTAGCGTCGGCTGCATGTTTACAGGCTCTCCTCTTTTGCTATGGTCCAGAAAAAGGCTGACGTAGCTGAGCGGTGTGGACGCTTTAACAACGCTCTGTCTCCAAACAGTTGCATTCTGGAAGCCCCGCTAATAACTTCCATCATTTGTTCACATTCTAGTTTTGCCAGTGAAGAATACCAAGGAGTTATGGAGCGAATCTCTGCCGTGGTGCAGCAGCACAAGGAGACCATGGTGCCAGGAGTGCCACAGCTCAACGTGTGCGACAAGGCCGTCATGGTGAGTAGCTAAAACATCCCAAAAAAATCTCATCTTAAATTATATTTTGCACTTAAAAACGTCACCTGCTGTCAGGAAGGGATGGAGAAGAAGGAGGCTGTCCTTGCACAGAGGGGAGGGCTGGGCAGTGTCTGCTAAATCCATCAGCACGCCGTGATAAACTGTGACTTCCTTCAAGATATCACAGCATCGACAACTGCAGATACTTCTCCTTTCTAGTCCCCCCTCTGCAAATCTCACAAGTCCTCTACATTTCGAGTGGTGGGGACTGAGACAGAGCCTCTTGTCTTTTTTTGTGCTGTATCAGCGAGTATCTTTGGTGTAGCTCAGTCCTCTCCAAGTCCACCTGTGCCTGTCTTTTCCCAAGTGCCTTCTGGCTTGAAGCAGGCCAAAAGTGTTTGCAGTTCTGCAGTCCAGTTTGAATTAAACACTGGAAAGTCACAGTTTACCTTTCCTATCAAACGCCACTCGCTTTGTTGTGAACCTGGAAAAAACCTGGCTGGTCCATAGGAGATAAAGCTGTCGGATGACAAGAGGTTGTGTGGTTTTAAGGGGATGTGCCTGTAAAGACTGACACCAAATAGTAACAGGCTTCCTGACACCGAAATAATCTCCTCAAACAAACAGTGAGTACCTGCTGCTTGGGGTCTGTCTCCAGCCAGATAGAAAAGTGCAAAATGTGGAGCTGTCTGTTCAGTAAGAAGGCAAAGATCTTTTTTAAGTTCAGTAACATCTTTTATTTTTGGATGTTTTTAGTTTAGTAACATCTTTTATTTTTGGATGTTAAGCAGCAAAAAAGATTTGAAGTACCATTGTTCCTGTGTTATTTTGTTATTCAACATTTCCCTTAACAAACACTGTTCTGTGCACCTCTGGGACTTTCTGGGTTCAGGGACTCTCCCCAGTGCCTGCCAGAGCCCCTAACTGGAAGGGCATTTCTTCTGGGCGGACTCCAGCTCCAAAACTGCTTTGTAAAGTGTAGGCTTACACTAAACATCTCCTGGACTTCACCCCAAACCCCCAGCTCTCAGTTTGGGGCTGCTGACGGTCAGTTTTCTCCCTGAACATACCTGGTTCTTTTCTCAGCTGGGCAGAAGTTTTGCCTTTTCCTCTCACCAGACCACAAGCTGCCTCTTCTACTTTGGCTGTGGGAATGTCCTGGCTGAGCCTCAGCCAGTCGTACCTGCCATTTATAAGCAAAAGAGGTTAACGACTGCATCAAACCAGGTCATTCAGGCTGTCTGAGGGGGAGAGCCCTCCCCAGTGGGCTGGGTGATGCTCTAATCTTGATAGAAACGTTCAAATCTCAGCAGGAAGCTTTTTTAGGTCACAAATTTTCTATTCGACGTACACTTCTAATTGGCCGATGGCGCAGTCACAAAACTAAAATAAACAGGCACCGAATTATTGTCTGCCTTTTGAGACCAGAATTAAAGGTAACCAAATCTTCTTGGAGTACCGGGATTGGTGGGGTTGGTTGGACCCTAAACCTGTCTTTGGGGCGTGCTGGGAGATAACCATCACTTCTTAAAGCCATGCCCCAAAACGTCATTGAAATTCTGCTGGCCCATCCATAGTGTAGCCCACCAGCAGTGGAGATGGAGCTCCTTGGGGCTCTTACAGCCCTGATCCACGAAAACTGACTTAGACTGCGAAACTGAAGCAGATGCAGTCTGTTTTTTCCCCCCAAAAAATCAATATTTTCTTTGTTTCTTTGAATCTCTGTTGCCTTCTACAGAGTGGTCAAGCACCTGAAATTCCCAGTGGTGCTTGCGCATTTTAAAATTGAGGAGCAGAGTTCGAAATCAGCATTAATTGCTCCTGAATCATCTGAAGCCCTTCCGCCAGGATCTCCGCTGTGTGCTGCTCTGCCTGGCAGATAGCTGGTGTCTCACTGCCATCTGTTGTCAGCTAGAGGGAACAGAAACCTGCTCCTGTATTTTTTCTGGGGTTAAGCTTTCCTTTCCCTCCACGGGAATTTAATTCCAAGCAAACGTAAATGACTTGAAAAAATAAATAGAAGGCGATGGGTCGGGGCTGAACGGAGCTTTAGTAGTGATAAAACTCGCCCGTGGATGGGTAGACCTGGAGAGGAAGAGGGTCAGAGAAAGACCATAAAAGATTTCCGAAGGCAGAATGGGAAAACAGAGTTCCACCAAAACCTCGTGATCTGTTTGCTCCTACAAGAAAGAGAGGAAATCCCCAGAGTCCTGGCAGGCTGCATTGGTACAGGAGAGCCCACGGTACCCCAGCAAAGGGAATCGTCTGCTGTGTAACCATTTGTAGTCCTTCCTAAAGCCTTTGTGAACAGGATTTGGAGTTGGAAATGTGATCAGCCCAGCAGCATCAGTTGTGAGATGGGTTTTGTCTTTCAAGGAGGACATAAGAGCATCTTATGATGAACTGAAAGGGGTCACTTAGGGTATAGGGCTTAGCACATACTTGATATAACATTTGACTTCATTTTTCTCTATATTTTGTTTGTTTCTAACAGAATTGGTCTCCCCCAGGCTGTGAGAAACTAGGGAAGTGCCTGCAACCACCCGAGTCGAATCCTAAGAAGTGCTTTTGGCCTCATTGACCTTTTATGCAGCCCTCAGGAGCTACTCAGAAAAGCCATAACCAGCTGGACACGGCAGTTTACAATGCATGTCTTCTCATGTTGGCACTCCTGTTTACACAGGAAGGGTGTGATGTATGTGTGATATCATCATTTGCTCTTCCAAAAGGGCCAGTGTTTATACTGCTAGTGCTCAGGGTTTAGCCTGTACTCCTCTCTTGTTTTAGTTCTTTCCGTAAATGGTAAATTCTCAGTGAAGACTACTTCAACTCTAAAAGCTCTCTGGACAAGCACAACTTTGCTGTTAGCTCAGAAGCACCACGGATGCACCTTTCCTCTGGCTCCTTCCACCCAACCTCTCAAATCAGCGCTCATGCAGGATGCCCCAACAGCAGGCCACGGGGTGCAGGAAACGTACAGTAGCCAGAAAACCCTGCCCAAACTCCCCGTGTTTTCTTTGCCTGTCGCTTGTTGTTTTAACATCTGATTTCCATTGTGCACTCTTTGGACACCAACCTGTTTTTCCCCGTTCTTCCTAAATCTGCAAGTACTGGGTGCAGCTTTACTGCTGAGCATCGCTGAGTGCCCACAAGTGCTCCCTCCTGTCCTCGACCAAGGGGTTGGCTCCAGGGACAACAAACACCCTGCGTTCGTGCCATCTGTAGCTGCAAACGTTCAGTAGGTCAAGTTGTAAAGAAATTTGAAGATAGTGCTCCTGTAAGTATTGCCTTGTCGATGGCACGCAGCATGTTCTTGGGGAGCTGCGGGGCAGTTGTTCAGTTAAAGGGGTTTCTTCGTTTCCAAAAATCTGGGTCCAAATATGGTTTAAGTCACGCTTCTGGCCTCATGATCTGAGCCCAGCCAACTGCAGGCTCAGAAATGCCCGTTTACACCAGCTGTTAACTCTTGACCCTGTTTGCAGTCTGTGCTCTCTGAGGAATTCTCCTTGTGCAAACTTTCCAGGGCCTGGGCGCAGCACTTCTCTAAACAGAGTTCACGGTAAATGCAAATTCTTCGCATAACTCCACGTTGCAAATTTCTCCTCTGATTTTGAGCCGTTTTCACACTCCTCACTACTGCTAATAAACATTTATTGGGCAGAACCCAGCCAGGTTATTGCGGGGACTGCAAGAATGGCCAGAAGCAATCATGAACGCGCCGTTTGCACCAGTGACGGGTCCACTTCCAGCCCTCCTGTGTTTGAGACAGGACGCATGCCCTTTCTGCGTGGCATTTTGCTGCCTCGGGACTATAAACAGTCCTGCTTCCACCCCAAGCAAAGCCTGGGGCTGGCGTGAGACGTGCTGAGAGTTTGTGTTAACCGCTGCGCTCCGCCTGCTGCGGGCTTCTCCGCTTTGTGTTCCTACCTGCCCTGTAATCCCGAACGCTTTCTCCCCGTTCCCATGATTTACGCTACCTGTAATCTCCTCGGCAGTAATTCCTCGTGGACGTCTGATGGAGCTGGATAATCCTGTAGGATTGCAATGAGCACAGCCCCTGAGTCAGCTCCTCGCACCCCATCCATCAGCCTCCCAGCCAGCAGCGCCGGCTGCCAGCCCCTCGCAACCTCGCTGCCTGCTCATCTGCAGCTGACATTTGTTTGCAGTCCAAACGTCTTAGCTGCTCTGCCTTGTCCCCGCTGGCATCTCAAGGCGTTTTTCAGTTCCCTCATAACATTTCTCCCCGTTTTGGCATGGTGTCATTAGTTTTGAGGCTCAGCTCCCCCTGGTCCTGGTGGTGCTGTTTGGCAGGAGGGCTGGCAGCAGCTGTGTGTCCGCACAGGAGCCCACACGAAACCCCCAGCTTTCCATTTTCAGGGTCTGAGCCTCCTCTGCGTTAGTGCTTGTGTCACAGAGACGCGTTCAGAGCCCTGTTATCAGCAGATAAAGATCCCACCAGAGGAGGGAGTCCGTCACTGCAGCTTCCTGAGAACTGCTGGCAGCTCTCGCATTGCTCTGCCCGTGCCTGCTGCAAACTGCACCAGCGCTTTGTCTTTCCGTGTGCTGCTTTTTGAGAGATCCCAGCACGGGCTCACAGCTCACCAGAGCACTAGCCTGGACATGTTTCTTCTTCTTACCTCTTGCAGCATGCACACTGTGAGCATACTGAGCCCCTGTTGCCCCATTTCCCCTGCCTGCTGCTTAATTCTTTTCTTTTTCCCAGCTTGCAGTTTTGCAGCTAGGGCTTTTCGCCCCGTCTGCAGGGCTTGCTCGGACAAGCCGTCCTGTTCTCAGCCTGCTCGGTGTTTGTCTGGTTACCCAGCACCCGAAATCATCATCCCCTGCTGATACAGGCGCTCGGTGCATGGGTGCTGGGTGTAAACTTTGCGCTTCGAAGGCTGGCTGCTGCCACAGAGCTGACCTGGTGCTTGTTGACTCATCTGCTTCGTGTTCATTTATTATAAAAGATCAAAGCTTCACATGAAGAAGCGACTGCTTTAAATTTAAATAAGCGTAGTAGTTTTATAGCTGGCTGGCTAGGAATTTTAAGTCCGTTCCTTTCCCAAAGATGTACAGATTTTAAAGCTGTGAGATGAGGAACCGATGAAGATAAATAAACTCACTTATCAGCAGCGCACGATACGGTTTGTCTGCACGCACCTGTAAAACAACTGCCTGACACCCTGCTTCAGGGTAGATTCACGGATGTGCCTTGCAGGTCATGGGACTGACTTGGGTTAAAAATATCTTGTTTTGTTTTTCCCTGTATTATTTTTACCCTGGATCAATTTCGCAGCCCACACAGCTGCCCGAGCACAATTGGGAGGCTGGTGTGGGGACCAGGGCACCGAGTGGCTGCCAACAGCAGCAGAGCCGCAGGGAGAAACGCCTGGCAGCCTGCAGCTCTGCTGGGGGGCAGCTAAAAGCCCCCCAGGCACACCCTGGGGGACAAGGCAGCCAGCACGTGTTCCCACATCTGCCCTAAATAATTAACCCAGAGCCCCTGATCCGCAGGTGGTCCCGTTTTGGGGGCATCCCGTGCTGGGGAAGGTTTTGGCATCCCAGGGGTTGCGCACACGATCGCTGTGGGTCTGGCAGGATTTACTGACCGACAGCGGTGGCTTCCTTCCCCGAGCTGCAAGATGTAGGGGCAGAGGGGAAGATGATGTCAGCTCAACTACTTCTTTGTGGCATTCCTTCCTTTGTATTTAAATGCGTCTCTGAAATGCTGAAAGCTTAATACCAGCTCGGGCTGAGAGTCCAAGGAATTCCTCTCCGGCCTCTAATTTCCAATTAGCTGAGCGAGTCTCCCTCCTCTGGCCCTGAGGCTATGCTATCATCCAGCCCTCCACGCGGAGAAGCTTCTGAAATTGATGTAACTAATAATCGCGGCCAAAGTCCCCCTGCATTTACAGTCTGTGGCTGCAAAAACGCAGCCCTGATTTAAAAACCGGCAGCGACAAATGGATTATTTCGGTGGCAAATTAGTCCCCGCGGACCGACAATTTGGGGGATCTGAAGAGTGGAATTGGAAAGCAGAAGATCAATTCCAAACACTTAGAGCCGAGGTTAATGCCCTTCAAGCAGCATTGAGTGCAGCGATGAGAGATAACTCGCCTTTGCATTTCAGATGCAGAGCCGGGGAGCGCGGCTTGAAAAGTGAAAATGGGAAAGTTCGGAGCAGAACAAGAGCGGGAGATGCCCCGTGGTTGCTAATAAAACCTTTCGCAGTGTCTGGGGACTGAGTTTTCGGGCAAGTGTTGAGGATGACAGCGGGCTTTTACTGAAGGAAGTGGAATTAATGGTGCTGAGAAGGAGGCTTGTGGAACTGGAGACGGTGGCTGCCATGCAGGAGCTTGGCAAGCTTGGTGCTCGCAGCTCTCAGGACCTGCCGAATCGAGCCTTGCCCAGCCGTGGTGGACGGCTTCCAAAAGCCTCCTGGCTTTGTGCAAAGCGAGGCAGCTGAGACGAAGCTCTCCTGGAGGTTTGAGAGCGCTCCTCCTTCCACCGAGGGCATCTCCGCAGTCGTCACGCGAAGTAATTCCAGCAGCTGAAGGAAAATGTTTGGAGGTGAGAATGGTTTCACTCGGGGACCTGGGGGGGAGCCAGTGCTGGGAGGCAGCTCGGGGCAGAGCTGCAAGCGGCCTCTCCAGCACTGCTGGAGGAGAATCTCTGAGAATCTCTCCCCAGGGATCCTGCTGTGGTCCTCAGCGCTGGGAAGCTTTACAGCCTGCGCTCTAAGTTACTCCGAGTGCTTCTTCGTATCCAGAATAACTGTTTTGCAGCTGGAGTGCCTTGTTTGCCGTTTTTCTTAACAGTTTTAATACTTGGAAAAAACTTTTGCTTTTGTTTTCTGAGGCTGTTTGGTGTTTTTCATTTGTTATCAGAAAGCGACACAGTGGTGCCTCTTGAATTAAACTGTTAGTGTTAAAGAGCAACTGCAGGGGAAGAACTGAAATCCCATTTTTAGGTCCCTTCTTTTCGCTGGAAAATGTCTATTTTAGACACGGCGAGAAGCCCCTATTTGCTGGTTTTCTTCGTATCCCCTGCTGCAGTTTAGAGTTTTGTTGTTGCTCGAAGTCTAGTTCGGATTATATAAATCCTAAATAAAGGGGGAGCCCTAGCCAAAAGCCTGCGGTCGCTTAGAAGAGCAGAAAAACCTCTGCCATCCAGCTTCTCGAGAGCCAATCTGGCAGCTGATGTGTGATTCTCTCTGCCTTTTTCCCTCCTGGAGTCACTTAACACCCTTCTGGGCGATACGGGGGCTGGCGGGGCCATTCCCATCCGAAAGGGATGGGGGCAGAAATGCGTGCCAAATCCATTTGCTCTGGATCGGGCTCCAAACCCCCTCCTGGCTGCCTGGGGAAGGGAGACGAGCTCCGTGCCTTCTCCCAGGGCCTGATCCTGCCTCCTGCAGCGGGCAGGGGGTGCGGGGCGAGGATGCTGTGGACGGGCAGAGCTGGCTGGCGGCGCCTTCGCCTCTGCTGGGGGAACGAAGCTCGCTGCTCGGAGCTGGAGCGTCGGTCCGGGGAGCTGGCTGGGGAGCCGCATTCTTGGGCTGTTGAAATAAGATATTTCAAAATTTGATTTAAAAAAAAAAAAAAAAAAAGAAAAGGGTTTTAAAGTGCATGCGTTTCTCAAGCTGAAATTGAAATCAAGCGTTCCAGCGGATTCGAGAGGAAAGTTGAGTTCCCGTTTCCCCTTGCGAGGCGTGTTGAAATTTCGGGCACTTTGTTCCACTTCACGCTGAAGTTTCTAAAAACCCCCTGACGGAACAGAAACTTCCGTGCTCAGCACAGCCCTGCTGACTGCTGGGGTAGGAATTAGCTCCCCAGCCTTCACGCACCCCGTTTCTGTGCTCATAACCTCAGTGCCATCTCTCCCAGCAGGATCCCAAAGCACTTTTAATCTCTGCGTCAGGAGAGGCAAGGACGGCGTTTCCCCTGCCCTGGAGCCTGTGGGGGGGTCCAGCTACGAGGCTGTGGTTCCCTGGCAGGCACCGAGCAGCCCTGAACCTCCCCGAGCCACAAGCGGATGCTGACACCTCCCGGGTGATATTCCAGAACTGGAGTCCTTTGACATCACATTTGGAAATTGGTTCTAGGAAAGTTCTTTTTTTCGGATGGAAACTGCAGTAGGAGTCAGCGCTGCTGTTTGAAAGGTTGAACAATTACAGGGAAACTCATTTAGCTCCGATGTTAAAACCAGTCCGTGCCGGTAGGCGCAGTCCTTCGAAACGGGGGATTAACGAGGTGAAGTCGTGACAAAAGGTTTGAGGAGAGGTTTTAAACCCGAGCTGGCGTGTGAGGTCACTCCTGGCAGCTGAAGCCTTACAAGCAGGACTTGGTGTAACCTCTCACGGGATGGTTCGGGGTGGAAGGGACCTTACAGATCACCTCGTGCCAACCCCCAGGGATGTCTCCCACTAGATCAGCGATCCTCTCTCTGGCAGAACTGAGGTGTTGGAGATTCCCCCCAGCTCCTCCTTCGCCCAGCTTTGGGATGCCAAGGGAGCGGTGGGAGCCCTCGGCAGCCCGTGCTGGTGAGAGCTGCTGGTTTGGTGGGGTCAGGAAGCACAGAGCCCGGGAACCTCGCTTAGAAAACCTGGTGGTGGCTGCTAATAACGGTGGTGGCTGCCTAGGAGGGTGACAAAAATGAATTCAGTTGCATCTCAGAAAAAAAAACAAACACGTGATGAAGCCCCCAGCTCCTCCAGGGATGCGAGCAGAAGGCAGGGCTGCCTGGCTTGGTGCTCCGGGAGGCTGCAGAAGGGCCCTGTCCCATCTCCTTGCTCGTTTCCATGGGTAGGCAGAGTAATTCCATCGCTTCCAGCCGCCAGGAAGACGAGGAGCTGCTGGCCTAGCTCGCTGTCCGGTGTTGTGTTTGGGAAGCTCACAAGAAAATCCCGTCCAGGTCCGTGGGAGCACGGCCGCGGCGAAGCCCCCGTTCCAGTGGACGGCCGCGTGCCTCATCTGTGGCTGCTTCTCTGGAACAGCTGTCGGGATTCTTCTGGTGCCAAAGAGATAATCTGACTTCAGGGAAAATCTTACTTCGGGAGGGAATGGTTGGGAAAGGAGGCACGCTGACCTGTGTGGGCTGGCTCTGGCAAGAGAGCCTGGCGAGAGGGAACTGCTCCGACCTTCGGAGGGCTCCTCAGCAGCCATCCCTTACGCAGGTGCCCCGTGCCAGCAGGACAAAGAGACCCACAGCCACCTACAGATGGAGTGGGAAGGAAAAAGAGCAGCGGAGGATTCAGCTGCAGCGAGCAAAGAACCAGAGGCTGGCACTGGGATGGGATGTGTAGGGGGGGCAGGCAGGATTGGGTGCCCCACAAATGGTGAGATGTGCCCGAGCCCGTGGCAGATGAGGTGTGGAGCAGGTCACCTTCCCCTCCTGTCGGGTGCTCCTGCTGTGCCAGACCTTGTCTGGGAGCTGGGGGGACCCGCAGGGTGTTGGGGGGACCCACAGGGTGTTGGGGGCACTGATCCAGATGGAGCAGGGGAAGGATGCTGTGTCCCTTACCCCGCTCACAGCCCTCAGCACCCAACCTGTGGGGTCTGCACCAAATCACTCCAAAACGGCAGCTGCTGGCTCATCACCCCATGGGACACACAGCACAGACGGGCCCTAATGGCTGTCCCAGGGGACATGGAGCTGAGTTGTCCCCTGGCTGTCCCCAGGGACGTGGAGCTGAGTTGTCCCCTGGCTGTCCCCAGGGACGTGGAACCCAGTTGTCCCCACGCAGCTCCCAGCAGCGGGCACCCAGCTCTGCCCTTGCAGGACCTTTGCTGCAGCAGGGGCTGTGCCCAGCTGAGTCTGGAGCAGATCCAAGCCCCAGCTGCTGCCCCAGGAGATGTGGAACCGTCCCTTGGGGCTCCCAACCGCAGCGCAGGGCGCAGGGGAACACGGAGAGCGGGGAGCACCCTGACCTGCCCCACCAAAGCTTATCTCCCCCGCTGCCAACCCAAACCACAGGCTTTAAAAAAAACATGGGAGACAGAAAAAGCAAAATAACCCAGCCTAAAAAAAAAAAAAAGGTGCTAACCGGGCAGGGGGAAGGGGCTGCAGGGGCTCTTTTGGGCACGGGACCCCCTCCGGAGGGTCTCTGCGCGCCGGCTCCTGGGCACGGCGGGCAGGGGCTGCGCGCCCTGGGGCGCACCGGGGCGCACCGCGGGGCGCTGGGGCCGGGACCCCGGGGAAAACCCGGCCCGATTCCGGGGAAATCCGGCCCGATCGCGGCGCAGCCGCACCGGGGAAGGCTCCGGGAGGGGGCACCGCCTGCAATCGGCGGCGGCTGCGCAGTGCTGGGGAGGCAATGGAGGAGAGGCTGAGGGCTGTGCGCGCACGGGTGCGCTCCTTCCCCGACTTCCCCGTGCCCGGAGTGCTGTTCCGGTGCGTGGCTAGGCTGGGGGGGAGGATAAAGGGGTTGGGGGGGAGGATAAAGGGCTGGGGATGGGGCAGGGGTTGGAGGAGAGGGGCTGGAGATGGAGCAGGGGGCCTGGGGATGGAAGAATAGGGTTGGGGATGGAGTAGGAGAGCTAGGGGGTGGAGAAAAGGGGATGGAGGAAAGGGCCTGGGGATGGAGTAATAGAGCTGGGGAGGGAGAATAAGGGGCTGGGGATGGAGGAAAGGGGCTGGGGATGGAGAATAAGGGGCTGGGGAGGAAGAATAAGGGGCTGGGGAGGGAGGAAAGGGGCTGGGGAGGGAGAATAAGGGGCTGGGGAGGGAGAATAAGGGGCTGGGGAGGGAGGAAGGGGGCTGGGGATGGAGCAAGGAGCTGCTTAAGGGGTGATTCAGCAGCATGGCAGGTCTGGGCTTGCTTCGTGGCTGGGGTTTTGGTCCCTCCCCAGGAAACCACAGATGCCTCTGCAGCAGCCCCGCTACCCGTCTCTTCCCCCGTGTCTGCTGGGCACGCTTCCCCTGGGTGCAGCAGCTCCGCCACGTGCACCTCTGGGTGCTGGCTAAGCTCCTTTCCTGTCTTTGCAGAGACATCAGCCCCTTGCTGAAGGATCCCGTGGCCTTCAGGGCTCTGATTGATCTGCTGGAAGATCACCTGAGGACGTCTTTGCCCCCCATCGACTTCATTGCAGGTGGGTGTTCCCCGAGGCAGAGCACGGTGTGCCGGTGCTGCCCGGGTGGTCGGTGTGGGGAGACGCCTCCCCGAGGGGCCAGGAGATATCGGAGCCCTTGGGTGTCATCCGAATTACAGCCTGTAGCGTAGGTAACACCAGCAGGGGCTCTACGCTTGCCCCAGTACCGTGGTTTCCTGAAATACTGGTTTGGGATGTGGCAGACGTCATCTGACGATGCTTCAGTGCCAGTTTTGTAACTCACTTCCTTCCCTCAATAAGCAAAGAGGCATTCACTGAGCACCGAAACCCGGTGTGCCATGCCTGGAAGGTCTCACACAGTCCCCAGGGCACGGGGCCCCTGTTTCCAGCATGTTTTCCTTCTCGGAGGGTTTTATCGAGCCAACTGAAACAGGTTTTGTGGTGATAACGCGCTGCAGCACGCATTTTAAGGAGGCTGAGAATGAAAAGTGCTCCGGAAGGTGCTGCTTGGGCTGGGCGATAGCCCAGGGCTCGGGGAGCCTCAACCAAACCTGGCCAAGTGGCTCCTGATAACCAGGCTCTGCCCCTGGAGGTGCAAAGTCCCTGGGTGCGTGGCCGGACTGATAGTGGGGCTGAGCTGAGCTTTGCTGCTCTAAAGAGCTGGGAGGGAGGCAGAAAAGGCTGCTGAGCTGCTGGGGGTGTCACTGCCGTGCCCCACAGCTCCCCAGCAGCCCGTCTGGGTGAGCACGGTGCCGTGGTGCACGTCTCAAACCCCATGGGGACAAAGTGCTCCCGGTGTCGCACGGTGGCTTTCAGGCGTTGGCTCTGCTGAATTCTTCCTGCTCTGCCCCCCAGGTCTGGACTCCCGCGGCTTCCTCATAGGCCCCCCTCTGGCTCAGAGGCTGGGGGTGGGCTTCGTGCCCATCCGAAAGAAGGGGAAGCTTCCCGGGCCGACCGAGTCCGTCTCGTACACCCTGGAGTATGGCGAGGTAACGCCCGGGGGGGAAAAAGGGTTTTCCAGGCTGTGGTCGGGGCTGTGAGTGCAGGGGGCGATGAGGCTGGTGGAGGATGCCCCGGCCAGCCCCGATGGGTGCTGAGCCCAGGAGCATGGCACAAATTTTGGGAGCTCCCCGGGGCTTTGTCTCCACGCCACGCACCCGGGGTTGGTGTCGGTGAGCCGTGCTGTGGGTTTTTTTTTTTGGGGGGGGGGGTGCAGGATGTGGGATAAGAGTCGGTGCTAAATTGCTTTCTTTGGCTTGAATTCAAGGGCATGACCATCGAGCTCCCCCTCTTCCAGTAAGTGCTCTGGGTAAATGCCTTCACTGCATGGCTTCGGGGCCGGGCGCTCACCCCGTAACACCGCACCCCTTTTGGGATCGCAGAGCCCTAGGCCCCGTAACCCGCTACGGCTGGTAACTAACAGCAGCAGGAGCTCCACGCTGCCATTACTCACAAGATCTCTTTGGGCCAAGCCCCAAATTCATCCGACAAAGGACGTGCCTGCAGCTTTTCCCTGCTCCAGCGCTCTTGGAGCGTGCGTTTCGGGGCTGTAGGTGCTGAGCGCTAAGGCTGGAGACGTGTCCGCGTTCCCAGCCGTGTGGGAGGTGTTTCTCTGGGAGGCAAGGCTAAAATGAGGCTGCTCTTTCCACCCTGCAGGCTGCACTTGAAATCCAGAGCGACGCCGTGGAACCGGGGCAGAAAGTAGTAATTGTGGATGATTTGCTTGCGACTGGAGGTGAGCGAAACGCGGGCGGAGGGCGCGGGGAACGCGCACGAGAGCTCCACGTGTGGGTCTGCCTGTGATCACCCTGATTTCTCCCGGGGAGTGATTTAACCGAGACGTTGTGCATGGAAACTGCCACCCCGAAACGCTTTGCTCCTGCCCTTTCCCTTGTTGCAATGCCCGTGGTGTTTAAATCATTGTGAGTGCTAAAATTTGGGCTGTGCGAGGCACAGGAATGCGCTTTGGGGCTGCCTGTGGTTAGCCCCGGGTGCTGCTCCTTCTGCTGACCCCTCCATGTCCTGCAGGTACGATGCGAGCAGCCTGCGAGCTGGTGAGGAGGCTGAAGGCGGAGATCCTGGAGTGCCTGGTGATCATAGAGCTGAAATTCCTGAAAGGGGTGGAAAAGCTCGAGTCCGTCCCCTTCTTCTCCCTGCTCCAGTACGACTGAGGCTCAGGCTGCGGACGGAGGCTGCAGGGTGCTCGCTGCCAGCCCCGGCCCCCTCCTCCTGCGTTGAAGTTGTCTCTGGCTTGATGCCACGAGGGGGTGGGCAGGGGAGAACCTCCAGTTTGGGTCTGAACTCTATCCAGATGCTCCACGAGAGTAAGTCCCAGTCATTTTCCACGCCACAGATCAAAGCGTATTCAGCGCACGGATCCTTTTTTGGGTTCATCCCGCTGGAAATAGGGAACAGACTGCCGGGGGGAGGGAGGGAGACCACAAAGGGGTAGATTATTTTTTTTTATTATTATTATTTTTTAGGATACCAAAGTGAAAATGTTGCTGCTGAGGCAGGGCAGGGCTGAGAGCTTTTTGGGGCCCAGCACGTGCTTTTGTTTGAGCCGTACGTGGCCAGCCTCCTTTCAGGGGGTTCCTAAAAAACTCAGAAGGTGGGCACAAGGTGATGATTTGTCTCGGGGTGACCTGACGTACCTGCCCCCGGAGGAAAAGCTGCCAAAGCACCAGCTGAGGCAGCGTGATGGACTGAGGAGGGCTCAGCAGAGCTCCCCATCGCGTGGTTCAGGTCAGCCCCAAGAGCAGACAGGACTCAGCGTGCCAAAATTTGCACCACTGAACGCAGCACAGCCTGCAGCCCCGCCTCAGCAGGAGCTAAACCCACTGGTAAAATAAACCTCGACTTCTTTTTATTTTTTCTAAATGGTCTCAGAGCTCTCTCCTTGCAGTAGCTGAAGCTCCGTACCCTCCTGAGCATCTCCCTCCAGTCCCGAGCCATCAGTGGAGGCTGTGGTGTGCGCTCCCCATGGTCACCCCAAATGGTGGATTTGGCCCTTCCAGGTATTTTTTTTTCTCCCCACCTGGTGCTGATCTCTGGCTGCAGGGGGGGGGCACCCAGGCTGATCCTGGTGGGCTTCCATGGAAATAATTTCCCTGTGCCGGGGATGGAGTGCACCCAGCCCCGTGCTCCCAGCTGTCAGGACCTATTGGGGCTATTTTTATCCCTGTTTCCTAAAAAGCTGCTCAGGGAGCGCTGAGGAACATCAAACATCATTCCCCCGGGGAGAAACCTACCCCAGGGCACTGGGATTTACAGCCAGCCCCTGCGTGGAGCCGGGCGCATTCTTGGCACGAGGCTGCGGGTCCCCGCTGCGAGGCAGAGAGGGGAAAAATCGGTTCCACCCCGAAGAGCTGTGGAAAAGCAGCTGCTCACCGGGGAAGGGAGCGCAAGCCCTGCTGGTGCCAGGGCTGGCAGCGTGCGAGGCCAAGGGGTGACATCAGGGAACGTGGGGACGCTGCCTTCGCCTGGGCGGGCACGGAGAGCCCCCCCCTTGGTGCGACTGCTGGCTTTGGAGCGGTGCCTTGCAGGCAGGAGGAAGATTTTGGGGTCCCAGTAGCAAACGGGAGCTCACCTCACCCCACAGCCTCTGTGCTGGGTTTAAACCCCCCCCGTGAGCCCCCAGGGCTGGGAGCGGGGCTGGCTGCAGGCAGGGTGCTGGAGGAGGCTTCCTTGGGGCATCACAGAGCGCAGGATGAAGGACGGGCACCTCCCTGCTGCTTCTTCCACCTTTTTAACCAAAATCTGCGATTCTGAGCAGCCGAGGCGAGCGCACCCAGCACCAGGCAGCCCCCCTCCTGCTCCCCAAGCTGGGTGCACCCCGGGCAGGCACCTCTGCTGCAGCGGGGACCCTCCTCAGGGCACCCATCCCCTCCTCCCCAAACCCTACAACTGGTCCCCAGCCGGAGCTGGGACCTGCCCCAAACCACCCCCCGCTGCCTCCAGCCCTCTCCCAGCTCCCGTCCCGTCCGGGCCCTATTGACAAAAGCTGCATTCAGCTCTCGGCGAGCCCACGCTCACTTTTTCCAGTAAGCTTTTCCCCAGGAGTTGGCCGAGGACCCGGCCCCAGCCCTTTTCCCTGCGTGAGCGGCCGGGGCCCGGTGCCACGGGAGAAGCGCGGGGCGGCCGAGAGCCGGCTGGATTTAAAACATTTTAATGCAAAAGATGTTTTTGACAAGTCCCGGCGTCGTTTCCAGCCGGGGCTGGAGATGCGCGTTGCCCTCGCCCTTAAAAAACACAACAAAAAGGCCCCGGAGAGCCAAAACAGCAAATTGGGGACTTCTCCTCTCGCTCCTTTCCTCCTCGCCACCCTCTCCCCCTGCCTCCACCACTCCCAACACCGGTCCCTGGGTGGAAGCTCCTGCCTCGGGACAGGTCAGAAACTCCTCGTCAGCACCCCAGGACTGCCTGCCTTCACCTTGGGGTTAACTACAGCCCCCTGGCAAAGGAACTAGTTACAATTAATGCCCACTCTCCTCTTCCTCAACCACCCCCCAGGGGCTTCGCTACGCCTACGGAGACGATTACGCAGGGGAAAAGCCCGGACCCTCATCGGGCTCAGAGCGCTTCAGCCTCCTTGGCCACCTTGGTGAGCCTCTCCACCACCAGCCCGACGTCCTTGTTCTTGTCCAGCTTGATGTAGGTGTCCGTCCTGATGGCGTGGATCCCCACCCAGTCGGGCAGCAGCTCGGCGAAGAGGCGCAGGTGCTTCTCCATCTCTCCTACAGGGTGGAAAAGCAAAGCAGCCGGGCTGAGCTCTCCGCACCCCGAATCACCCCAAAACCCCCGGCACCATCCCGGAGCCCTATGCGCCCCCATTTCCTACCCGCTGTCATCTGCGTGGGGAAGCTCTCGGCCATGCGGGCGCACACCACCTCCAGGGGCAGCGCCGGCTTCTTTTCGGCCACGAAAACGTTGCGCAGGACGCGGGCCATGGCCGGCAGCCTCCCCAGCAGGGTCAGCCTCTCCTCCTGCCCCGCGTCCCGGGTCATCAGCGCCTGCAGCTTCCTCGCCTCCTTGGCACGGATCTGGGGAGGGGGGAGAGGAGGGAGGAGAAGGGGTCACAGGTGCAGGCAGGACCCCCTCCGGTCAATATTTTGGGGCCAGGATGGAATTACTCACCCGCTCCAGCAGCTCCTGGGACACCCCCTTCAGCGCGCTGGAGGTGCTGGCAGGGGATGGTGCTTTGGAAACCATCGGTTCCCCCGCACCGGCTTCAGCGCTTCTCAGGGCCAGGTTGGCAAGAGCTTTTTCCATCTGCTCATGATGTGGAAGAGGGAGGAGGAGTTGGGTTGCAGCTGGGAGGAAGGAGAAGTTTCCCCTCCGCCGCCCCCACCTCCAGGGGCCACCCTGCAGCAGCCCGGCACCCCCCACACCCCTCTGACCCATCCAGGGGGACAGTTTGGTGTCCTCCATCTCCTCTCCCAGCCCAAATCAGCTCCTCCAGCCCCAAACCAGCCCTGTGCACACCCCAGGGTCCATGATATCCAAGCTGGGCCCCCCCCCCATCTCCATCTTCCAGCTCTCCAAAGCAACCCTTCCCCACTCCTGCCCCTTAACATCCTCCCAGAGGAACCAGTTTGGGGTCTGGGATCCCCCCCAAAAGGCAGCAGTTGGAGCCAGACCCCGTCCCCGCTCACCTTGGGGATCATCATGCCCCGAGCCGTGCTCAGCAGCTCCTGGGCCGTGGTGACCCTCTCCTCCTGCGGTGGCCGCGGCAGCTCCGCGGGGCTGATGTCCGGCACCTCGTCCACATTGAAGCGGGGATGCCAGCGGGTCAGCTTGTCCTCGGGCACCACCATGGGGGGCGTCAGGCCGGCCAGGAACGCCTGGAGGGGAGCGAGAACGGCACCACTGCACCCACGGGTTCATGGCCACGCTGTGCTCCCAGCAGAAACCCCAGGATTTTCCCTATTTTTCATCCCACAACACTGCCTGCCCGCCACGAGCACCCACAGAGCCCACGGCCCCATAACATCCTTCATTTTGGGTGCCACCCCAATCCTGCGGGTAGCACCCAGAGCCCCCCCGAGGCAGAGGGAGCAGGGGCTCACCGCGTGGTGCTGCTTGACGATGTTCACCAGGCTGCGGTTGAATTCCCTCCTGCGCTCCAGCAGGCGCGACGCCGAGAGGTGCGGGCGGCCGCACAGCTTCTCGTCTGCCAGGAGAGGGGAAAGCATCACCTGCAGCGCGCCCCAAAAGCGTTTTCCAGCTCCGGCTCCTCGGTGGAGGGAGCACAGAGCGCTCCGGGGACCCGCAGCTCCCCCCCCGGACCCACCTTCCCCCAGCACGGGCTCCAGCGTGAGCTGGTAGTCGGATTTCTTAACGCCGCTGCTGAAGGTGGGGATGTTCTTCTCCTGGCGCAGCCGGTACGAGGTGGGGTACACCGCCTTGATCTGGCCCACGTGCCGCTCCTCAAACTGCCTGCAACAGCAGCAGGGAGCTCAGAAACCCCAAGGACGACACCAGGAAGGTCAGAAACCCCAAGGGACGACACCAGGGAGCTCCAAAACCCCAAGGGATGACACCAGGGAGCTCCAAAACCCCAAGGGACGACACCAGGGAGCTCCAAAACCCCAAGGGACGACACCAGGGAACCAGCCCCAGCGCCTAAAGCTGGGGGCCCCGAAAAACCCATCGAGATGCTCTCCAACTCACTTGCGCATCATGTCCTGCACCCCCTGCTTGACCTTGGCGAAGGTGATGGTCTCGGCGCGGTTGAAGAGCATCCCGGCGATGGTGTCCACGCTGCGGAACATCTCGGCCAGCACCTTGTACTTGTAGGGCAGCGTGAGCCCCGGCGGCTGGTCCTGCGCGAGGGCGTGGAAGCGCTGGTACGCGGGGAGCTTCTGGCCCCTGGGGAAAAAGGGGAGGTGTTAGGATGCCCCGCTCTGAGCTGGTGCAGGGAATGGGGCACGGGGACAGCCCCGAGCACGCATGGGGGGGACTGAGACCCCCTATAGGCTGGGACTGGGGTCTCAGAGCCGTGCGCCCACCCCGGTTGGGGCAGGTCCCCTCTGGTCCCGTTGTCCCAGCACCCCAATGTGGGTCCCTGGGTCACAGCCTGCCCTGTGTGCCCTGGGGACGGGGTTTGGTGGTGGGGAAGCGCTTTTTGTGCTTTTTTTTCCCCAAAAAAAGCCTCTCCTCACCCATCTCCTGCTGCTGCCGGAGCTGTTGCCTCCTGCGCCCGTGCTCCGCTCGCCGCCGCCTTGTCGCGGAGCCGCAGCTCCAGGCCCCGCAGGGTCTCCAGGCGGCCCCGCAGCTCAGCACCGGTCCCAGCGGGGATGGGAGGCAGCTGGGATGGAGCCTTCATCTTCATCTTCATCCTCTGCAGGCGGCTCTGCAGCGCGGCCAGGTCCTCCTGGGGGTGTGGGAACGGGGTCAGGATGGGCAGGGAGGGGGGCAGCGGACAGACAGAGACCCCCAGCCCACCCACCCCATAACCATCCCCATCCCCATCCCAATCCCAATCCCATCCCAATCCCGTACCGGCTCCAGGCGCGGGGCTTTCCGTGGCACGGCTCCACCGTCCTGCTCCCGGCTGGAGGATCGCGTCCTGCCCACCGGGGGGGGCTCTAGCCGGGGGGGGGCTGGCGACCTGCGGGACACAGGGGCTGCGTTAGGGACCGTGCGGGGAACCCCCCCGGGACCCCCCCGGCCTCACACTGGGGGTGCCGTGGGGGCACACCGGGGATGCTGCCACCCCCCTCCCGTGCCCCCCCCGTACCGCGGGCAGCTCCAGCCTCTTCCTCGCCGATTTCCCCCCGCGCTCCCCGGTGCCGGTCCCGGTTCCCAGCTCCGCTTCCATCTCCCGGCGGCTCCGTTTCCTGCCCGCCAGCCCCGGCACGGCGGGGACAGCGCCGCGGGACGGGGTGCGGGGCGATGCGGGCAGCGGTGGCAGCGGGAGGGGGGCTCCATCCTCGGCCTCCCGGTGCACCGGGGCTCCCCGGGGCTGCCTTCAACCGGGGGCCGCCAACACGCTTGGCGGGGACGGTGGCGGCCGCCTTGGCACGGCCGAAAAAGTCGGTGAGGCGGAGCTGCGCCATGGCTCCGGTGCCGCTCCCGGTGTCCCGGTGCCGCCCCCGGTGCCGCTCCCGCGCTCCCGGTGCCTGCGGCGCGCGCGCGCCAAATCCGCCGCTCTTGGCGGGAACCCGCGCGGCCGCGGCTCCGCCCCCCAATAGGGTCACGTGGGCCGGAATTGGCGCCACGGGGCTCTTAAAGGCGCCGCGCACCCCGCGCCCGTAGGGGCTCCACGTGGGTGGGTGCGTGGGTGGGGAGGGGGCTCGGCGCTGCGCGTGTGGGGGTCGCAGGGGGCTGCCCTTATAGGGTGGAGGTGCCATAGGGACCCCCCCCCCTAGGGGTGCTGCCACTGCTGTAGGGGTGGGTGCTCAGCTGGGTGGGTGCCATGGGGCGCAGCGCATGGCGAGGGTCCTGCCCCAAAATAGGGCAGGGGGCTCTCAGCCTCGTTCCTTCCCCAAAACTCATAGGGACCAGCCTGCAAAAGCTGCTGCTGCTCGGTGGCTGCGCCCCATAAGCAGCCCCGGGCGCAGAGGCTGGCTGCGGGGTCCCCATCTGCATGGCTGGGAGTTAATTATGGCACTGCCCGGACATGGGAGCAGCGTGCCGGCCCGGAAAGCTCCTTGCCGGGCACTCAGGCCGTGCCCGCAGCGCATTACGGGGCCGCGCTGCTCTCAGCATGGCTCTTAGCGCCTTGAGCCAGGCCGGCAAAGTGGAGCGGGGCCGGATTCGGCTGCGCGAGGCAGGGCTCAGGGGTGCCGTTCCCTGCGCCCATTTACTCCCGCAGCCTCCGCTCGGGGTGCTCGGGGCTGGGAGCAGGGGGCTGGGGTGGGCGCCACGCGCCACCCCTTCCAGGATCTGCTGCGGGTTTGGGGATGCAGCGTGGGGCTTTGTGCAGTGATGGTCTCCAGTGCCATGGCCGTGAGATTTACAGCCTCGTGGTTTGGTGCTCACGAGGGTTTTATTTGCATGAGTGAATTTTTTTGGGTGCCAGCCCTGAGGGTTGGCTCGGAGGTGGCTCAGGTGCCTGCAGCCCACCCCAGCTCCCACATGGGGCTGTGCCCACGCCGAACCCATTTAGGGGGGTCCTTGGCTCTGTCCTGCGCATGGTTTTGGGGCTGTAGTGATGTCCATATGGATGAGGCTCCAGTGGCAATGGAAAGAGCCCCAGGGGAGCCCAGGATGGAGAGCGGAGCCCACCGAGGCAGGGAGCGGGTCGGCGGGGAGCCAGCTGGATGCCCGGCCATCGAGCGAGCGCGCTTGGAAAACAGAGGCGGCGAAGCCAAAGAATGCGGAGAATTTTACGGGCTGATGCTTCCTGCTCCCGGCAGCTTCCAGCACTGCCTGGGTGCCGCGGGGCTGCCCCCGTGGCTGGCTGTGATGGTGGGACACGGGACGGGGCACCCGGCCCTATGGGGACACGGCTGCTCGGGGGGTCCCGGGGGCTCCTGCCCCAGCTCCAGGACCCTGCGTGGGCATTCCCAAACCCTGTGCAAGTCGTTCAACCTCAATAAGCCCTGATTGCACATTTTTTTATTATTATTATTGCCTCGAGGAGCAAACAGGAGCCGCGTCTTTTTGCCATTTTCACCTTTTTCTATCCATTTCCCCGCTTCCAACCCCCCATACCCGAGCGCTGCCTGCGCGGAGCCGCGGAGCTGAGCCCGGCCAACTCGTGCCAGCGATGTCCGGGGGCTGCAGTGCCCACGGGCGGCGCTAGGCGGAGCGGGACCGGGTCGAGCCGTGCCGGGCCGAGCCGTGCCGTGCCGGGCCAGCCCGCCGAGGGGGCCGGGCGGCGCCGCTTTATAAAGGCTGCGGGCGCGGGGCGGGGGAAGCGCGGCCGCTCGCAGCGCTCCGGGACCGGCCACCGGGGGCCTGCCCAGCCCCTGCGGGGCGGAACGGCACGGCTCGGCCCGGCACGGCTCGGCACGGCATGGATCGTCCCGCAGCCCCCTGAAGCCATGGAGCGGCGGGCGCTGTGCGCGGGGCTCTACTGGCTGCTGCTGCCGCTCGCCCTGCTCGCCGGTGAGTGCACGTGCGCCGCCCTCCGCGCTGAATATTTTTTTGGGGAGGGGGCTCCCCAGCTGATATGGGGTGCCCCGATAATGGGGGAGCTCCAGGGGGGTCCCTATCCAGGCTGGGTGCCGCGCGCGGGGGCTGCGCTGTGCCTGGAGGTGCGCCCCCCCCCCCCCGAGGGGTGCATGGCTTATAGGGGGGGGCGGGTGGTGGTGCCCCCCCCCCTATGCCCCTCGTTTTAACCCCTCGTTTTAACCCCCTCCGGTGCGGTTCCCACGAGCAGCCCCCGGAGGATGCGGGGCCGGGACGCTCCGGGGTTGGGTTGGGTTTTGAGGGGGGGGGTGGGCAGCACGTAGGGGTCCCCTCGGAGCGGGGGGAGCCCAGCGGCAGCCCCGATCCCCTTCCCCACAACTTTTTTCCCCCCCCCCCTCGGGACTCCAAGAGCCGCGCTCGGCTGCGCGCAGCCCCGGGGGCGCGCCCGCTGCTGCCGGCCCAAGGGGGGGGGCGGAGGTTGGAGCGGCCTCCGCGGAGGGGCGAGGGTGGAACCGGGCACCGGGGACCCCCCCCGTGTACCCCCCCCTCTTGTGCATCCCCTCGTGGGTTTGGCAAAAACCGGGACCTTTTGGCAGGGCGGGGGCCGGGTGCGCCACCGCCCCCCCCTAGGGCCGGGCAGGGGGCGCGCACCTCGGCTGCAGCCCCCGGCGGTGCGGAGCCGGGAGCCGCCTGGCTGCTGGCCTGGAAAATGCCCGTGTGCCGGCCCTCCCCGGGCAAGAATCGTCCCTTTGAACCTGGGAAGCGTCTTCGGGGCTCTCCGTTTACCTTCACGTAGGCGAAAGGAAAAAATAAAAACCTCGCCGGGCTCCGTAAACAGGATTGTGCCACGGCCTCCTGGTGCCCGTGCCACCCGGAGAGCTGCGAGGAGCTTTTTTGGGGGTGTCACCCTCTGCAGGGACCCCGGGATGAGTGTCCCACCGGGGTCACCTGCAGCCGTGCAGCTCCCGTCCCACCCCGGCTGCGTTTTGGGGAGCCCGGTGAGGGCGCACGGGGTGTCGCCGTGCCTCCAGGGGAGGCCGAGCGGGCGAGCCTCACTGGCAGAGGAAGTCGGCGAGCGTTGAAAAAAGCTTCTGTATTTGCTCTCCCTCGCGAGTGACTCAGTGCATCGTGCAGGATGTGAGGAGGTTAATTATAACCCTGCCTGCAAACCGGGCTGGGAAGGTGGCCGGGCGCTGCTTGCACAAGGCCCTTCCAGCCGGGCGCATCCCCGGGGGGGTGACACGTGTCCTCCTGGGTGCCACCCCGGCGCCGATGGCCCTCGTGCCAGTGCTTCTGCCCCGTGCTTGTCACCCTGCTCCCTCGTGGCACAGCCGCACCGGGGCCGACCAGCTCCTGCAGCCACCGGGGGCTTGGCACGCTCCGAGGGGGGTCTCGGTTAAATTTGGGGCCCCGCTCGGGCAGCGGCTGTCCTGGGAGGTGAAACCCGCCCTGCTCGAGGCGCGAGTGACTCAGCGGGCGCCGGGGAAGCGGCCGTGTCCCAACGGGTCCCGCACCGCAGGGGAAACTGAGGCACGGGGCTGGGGCTGCTGCCCCCCGGCTGGGAGGAGAGCCCGGAGGCTGCCCTGCCTCCGGCCCTGCTGCCTTCCTTCCCCTGCAATTAGGCTTTTCCCCAGCGTCCGGAGGATGTTTGCTGGCGGCTCCCAGCCAGCTCTGTGCGGGTGGAGGCGCCGGAGCCGGGCCCCCGCGGCACGGCTCGGGGCACCCCCCAGCTTCCCACGGCCCCCACCTCGCTCCCAGCTGTGCCTTGGGCCAGATCCTGCCCGGCGTGGGGACTCGATAAACCCCGGCTCCATCCTGCCTGGATGGGGTGCACGGAGCGGGTGGGTGGGGGGCACAGCCTGCTGCCCCCCCTCGCCGTTTATCCGGCTGGTGCTGCAGCGCTCAGCCATGCTGGTGGGCCCTGAGGCACCTAGGGAGCACATCCCTGGGGGTGTCCCCCAAAAATTAGGGGGGCTGGGCTGGGGTGAGGCGAGGACACGGCCCCTCCTGCCCAGCTGAGCCCCCCCCCCATACCCAGCACATGGATTTTGGGGGTCCCAGCCAGCCCTGGTGCTGCAGGGAGCCGGTGCCCAGCTGGGCGCGTGGGCTGCAGCCAGCTGCCTCCTGTGGTCAGGTGCTTTTTTTAAATGAGGGGAAATAAAGGGAAGAGAGAAAAAAATAAAAATAAAATAAAAAAAACACACGCACAGGAAAAAAAAAATGCCACCGATGTCTCCAAGAGCAATAACTCCATTTCCTCCCAAGGGCAGGCCGGGGGCTGGGCTGCGCAGGGCTGGCGTGGAGCCTGTGCGGTGCCCGCGCTGCCCTGCGGCTGCGGGGTGCTTTGGGGGCTCCCGGGACCCCCCCATGCAGCCCCCCGGGGAGCAGCACTGCGGGGCCCGCCGGTGTCCCAGCTGGGCTGGGTTGCAGGGGGTTGGTGGTCCTGGGGAGCTGGGCATGGTGGGGTTAACCTGTGGGGTCCTCACCGCCCCCCTCCCCAAAGCTCTTGGGATGCCCTAAAACATTTGGGATCCCCATGGGGGCTGGGGGTGTTGTTTTGGCTCCGGCATTGCCCTAAGGCACATGGAAAATGTTACGGTGGCCCCACGACCCCCCCCCGTGCCACGGCAGCAGGGATTTGGGGGTCCCCATTTACAAGTGGGGTGCAACCATGAGAGCAGCGCAGGTGTCCTAGTGCTGAGCACGCGGCTCTGGGGCCCCCAGGACGGCTCCGTCCCAATCCCCTGCAGCCCTGGTGCTGCGAGACGTGTTTGGGGGGGATGAGGGCATGATTTTGGGGGCACCGTGCCTGTGTAGGGGGACAGGCTGGCGCTGGGGGGACCAGCGCAGCGCCACAGCTGCCCGCTTAACCTCTCTGCTCTTGCTTCCTTCCGTGCAGATAAGGATTTGGGGCGGGAGGACCTGACTGTGTGTCCTGAGCCACCACCAGCAGCACTGTGGGGTCGTCAGGGCTGGCCCCATAACCCGGGTATGG